TAGTCAAATCAAAGACATTTTTTAAGAATAATGACCAATGATAACTTTATCATATTTCTGTTGCTTGATTATTTCTTTTATTCTTATTATTTTTTTAGATTGGAACAAAATTTCATGTATTCACACAAAGCAACCCTAGCTCCCTAACCTTGGGGAATATTGGGTGACTTTTGGATTATCAAACATCTGATACAGACCCCTACCTGCTTCAGCTTGTAAAATAATTAACCAAGTTAGTAGTACAGGGACTTACAGAAGGTAAAATCTTTACATTTCCCTGTGTCAGGGGCAGATAACTTAAATAGTAGAAAGGATGCCCAAATTCTTTATTATTTCATCAATTTGTTTTAAAATTAATTATGATTCTCTTTAATTATACAAAGTTTGGGGCTGGAAACTTCAAAGTTCAGCAACATTAATTTTTGAAGAAAAAAAAAGTTTACAAAAATGTTGTCATTTTTTCTAGAGTGTTTCAGAAACTCAATTATTCAAACCATCATATTGCAATTGCATTCTTTAAGTTCTATGTTGGAGGAAGACCTTAGGTGCCATGTGGCATTATTACTGTCACAAGTGGGTACCTATAACTTTCTGTGATGTTTGCTGTTGAACTCACAATATAAATGTTCTTCTTTTATGAGAGGAATCTTGAAAGGGATGGTTTGTGGCTCTGCTCGGGCACCAGACATGCTTTTGACACTAGCGGTTACCAAAGCGATAGAGGAGCATCTGCAATATTTATCATCTACAAAATAGTAACGTATACGAAAGTGAAATTGGTCAGGTAATATAACAAAATGTAAAAAATTCCTTTCTTACGAACAAATTCATTTTCAATTTTAGTTTTTTTTCCCATTGATTTTTCATTCATAACAGTGAATGAGTTAATTTTTTTGCTTTTGAATTTATGATACAAAAATTTGAAAATTTTGCCTAATGAAAATCTTCAAAGTAAAGTCCAAATTCTGAAAAATGACAATCGACCCACAAGACCCTGCCTGGTTTAAAAAATAGCATTCCTGATGGAGTGGTCCAATGTGGTCAGAGGCCATCAAGCTTTTAGTCTTGTAACCTGCCCAAATGAAAAAAAATTTTGCCTTGGGATGGGTGTAGGGGTTATTATAGAAAGGAAAAAAAGGCCAATAATTTGTCACGGTTAAATTTGGAAAATTTAATAATAACAATGTTTTATTTTAAATTCTAAAAGATAAATTCCGACGATTTATTAGAGTAATGTCCCCCCAGTACCCCTGTAACCTTACAGGTGCGTCACCCCAGGTCATCAAAAAAAAATCCTGGTAAATATAGTGCATCTATAACTGTTTTATTTGTTTGCGTCTGGTGAAATTAAATTTGCAAAGACTGCTAGTATGGTAATTGGTAAAATGATTTCAGAGAATATTCTTACTCAGTTAAAGTTTAAATGTCAATTGCTAAACAATTTCTTATAGAGGCATATTTTGTCACTTAGTGGCCTCGGACTCAGGGCCGCTCTTATCTGAATATTATACAGTAAAAACATCTCCAAGAACTACATAACAAAACACAAAGAAGAGCCACGGCTTTATTATAAGGAAGGGAAATAGGTAAAGAAATGTGCCCACAAAAATCCTTTTGTTAGATTCCAGTTTTGAATATACATCCACTTCCCTGGTGCTTCAACATACCAACAGGTCGAAGATTGGTCCGGCAAAAAGGAGGCTAAGGCGAAGTCAAAAAGGATTTATTCCTGACAAACCAGCCTCCTTGATATGCAGCATAGCTTACAACGATTCTTTCTCGCATTCTCTTGAACATCGCAGATATGACTCAAGAATCATGAAGTGTTCTATATGATCTACCACAACCTAGTAGCAATTTAATTGCCATCTTTCATAGAATTATAAAGGCCAACCAGAAATTTGCAGTCTCAAAGTTTCTAAGCTTAATAAGGCAGGGGTGTGGAATTTTGGAATTTTTCCACTTGTCCGAGGGACAAGTTGGATTGAAATTTCTAGTTGTCCGCAGCCCAAATTTACTTGCCCCCCAAAAACAGTGCGGATTATGTAAGTTCAGCAGCTATATTTTACTAACTGAACATTATCTGCAAGTTTGACCATAGACATTGTCCTGAATTACCCTTCTTTGGCAGCCAGACAATAAAACTAGCTATCCTGAAATAAATGTATTCCTTTCGAATCATACTAATTTTTTCTAGTATCTCTCTCTGACTTCGTTTTTTGACTCTTTGGAGTTTCTACAGGCTTTGAACTATTCATTCTTTATAAAGAATTTGTTAAAGTTTTTTTTGTATGCAAAGAAATAAACTTTGCAATGAAATCATCTGTGCTTTATATTTTTTGCCGCAATACAACCAATGAGTTCCTATAGCACATACGTCTATTGAGAGGCTTCATAGGGGGTAAAAAGCAAAACAAAATGGGTTATATAATTAAACTAGTTTGTAAAGGTGATATGCAATATTGGAATGAAAAAATGGGTCAAAGACAGAAAAGGCCGGGTTGCATTTGTACACCAAATATCATGAGGCTGTGATGTTACGAAAAAAAATTTCCATTGACCCATTAATGTTGAAAATTTAATTCAGTAGGGTATACAGGAAGTGGATGAGCTACACACCTAAAATGAATCCCACAGTATGGACCATGTGTCAATGCTGTATGGCCAAAAATATCAAGAGGCTGTGATTAGTAGTTTCTGAGAAAAAATGTTACGAAAATTCCTACCAGTGACAAATAAAATGTGAACAGGAAGTGGATGAGCTGCCAGACTTGAAATGAATCCCACAGTAATGGGGACCATGGTGTTCAATGCTGTATGTCAAATATCAAGAGGCTGTGATAAGTAGATGCTGAGAAAAACTGTTTACGAAAAAATTTCCCTACCATTGACCATTAATGTCGAAAAATCTAACTAATTTAACTAAGTGGATAAACAGGAAGTGGATGAGCGACAGACCTGAAATCCAATCCCACGGTATGGGACCATGTGTCAATGCTGTATGCTAAATATCAAGAGGCTGTGATAAGTAGTTGCTGAGAAAAACTGTTAGGAAAATTTCCTACCATTGACCATTAATGTCGAAAAATCTAACTAATTCAAACTAAAGTGGATAAACAGGGAAGGAAGTGGATGAGCGACAGACCTGAAATCCAATCCAGGGTAATGGGACCATGTGTCAATGCTTTATGCCAAATATCAAGAGGTTCACAGTGATTAGTAGTTGCTGAGAAAACTGTTACGAAAATTTCCTACCATTGATCATTAATGTCGAAAAATCTAACTAATTTAACTAAGTGGATAAACAGGAAGTGGATGAGCTGCAGACCTGAAATCAAATCCCACAGTATGGGACCATGTGTCAATGCTGTATGCCAAATATCAAGAGGCTGTGAAAAGTAGTTGCTGAGAAAACTGTTACGAAAGTTTCCTACCATTGACCATTAATGTCCAAAAATCTAACTAATTTAACTAAGTGGATAAACAGGAAGTGGATGAGCGACAGACCTGAAATCCTATCCCACGGTATGGGACCATGTGTCAATGCTGTATGCTAAATATCAAGAGGCTGTGATAAGTAGTTGCTGAGAAAACTGTTACGAAAATTTCCTACCATTGACCATTAATGTCGAAAAATCTAACTAATTTAACTAAGTGGATTAATAGGAAGTGGATGAGCGACAGACCTGAAATCCAATCCCACGGTATGGGACCATGTGTCAATGCTGTATGCCAAATATCAAGAGGCTGTGATAAGTAGTTGCTGAGAAAACTGTTACGAAAATTTCCTGCTATTGACCATTAATGTTGAAAATTTAACTAGGTCAGCAAACAGGAAGTGGATGAGCGACAGACCTGAAATCCAATCCCACAGTATGGGACCATGAATTGATGCTGTATACCAAATATCAAAAGGCTGTGATAAGTAGTTGCTGAGAAAACTGTTACGAAAGTTTTTTCCCCGCCCGCCCACCGCCCGGACGCCCGCCCGCCGCCCAACATTCACCATACTATAACCCGGGTTTGCAACAGTGCAACCCGACCAATAAAATGATATAGAGTAACCTGTGACCAAAATTTGGCTTTTATTTTTTTTTTAAATGGCTCTGAAATTCACTTGCCCGCCGACAAGTCCAATGAAAAAATCGACTTGTCCGCTGGCAAAAAGGCCCGAGTCGGACAAGTCGGACATAGGAATTCCACACCCCTGTAAGGGTCTATCCGTCCTTTCACTTTCAAGCACTGAGAGTACAGACCCTGAGAGTAATCCAAGTAACATCTAACTAATATAAATATTCATAATTCCCCACACCCCCATATTGCTATGGAACAATCTTCATGTTCTAGACAGGTGTTGCCACAGTCAAATACTATACTGACACTGTTTTTATCCATTTAACCCAATGTAGCTTTTTAACATTGCTCATTACTTAGCCTAATGTTGGGATGCTGACACTGATGGAGTAAGGTTTTCTACTTTACTTCCCACTCCTTGCATAGGTCTGCACATCAACATATATACTAACCAACCCTAACCTTGACTGACTTTAATTTTATTCTCGCTGATTGCTTTAACTAAGTCCATTTTTAACTTATTTCTTACTTCCAGTGTGTAGCCTGGGCTGAAACACTCAAATTTATTCAATTTATTTATTATACTGTCTGATTGACAGTGCACATATCTACATATAGTTTTGATTTTAGACCAATTCAATATAGTTCTTTATTTCTAAACTTGGGCAATTTAAATATACCTTTAGTTTAAAATGATGAAAATAAAGATATTTTCAAAATAATATTTCCACTGTTGAGAAGGGTTTTGCTGTAGTGAGATCCTTTCCATGAATAAAAAAAACTTGGGATTGTCAATCAAATTTGTTTTCAGCTGAGTTGATGAGTCATAATTATTGGCCGATTTTCGTTTATTCTACACTTTGACATTTATTGCAAACTAAATACTTCTAAAAATGATTAAAAATCAACATCTGCACCGAACTTACCATTTGAGTCTTGAGCAAAATTCTGAATAATTTGCCGATTATCCTTTGTTTTCCTTTCTCGTTTCCCGGATTTTGTCTCTTTTGCTTGTTGGGCCCCCATATTATCTTGGCCCAAAATATGCCTTTTCTGTACACTGAACCCTTTCAATCATTTCATGAACATACCATTTTCACTTCAGACTCAATTTCTACTTTTAAATTTTAACAATAAACGGTAATTTTTAATGTAATTTGTTCACTATTTTCTACTTCCTCCCCTTACAGGCGGCCGCCATCTTGGTTTGCTTCGAGAATTGAAAACGAGGCTCGGCCGATGTACCAAATGACCCCCGACGGTACGCTGGAGAATGCGGATGTGCCGACTAAAGTGCGCGTCGCAGACCTGCCCAAATAGCACGTGATAACTTTAATAAAAATTCAAAAGTGTGATAACACTACTTACTTCTTTAAAACTTGAAAATCGGTCATACGAACAAAAATAAAGAGACAATATGTCGAGTAGAACAGCACAGAGCGGGAGAACAGTTAATTATTGGAACTTTTAATACAACATTTTTAATTCAAAACAGATCAACTTTAGTTTTCATGTAATGCAACTCGATTTTATAAATTTAAAGCGCATGATTTTTCTAGTATATAACAACATTTTTCAAAAAAAAATCTACTAGTTGTAAAAAAAACTGTTTAATATTGTTGAGTGCCGTATTTTAGTTGAATCAGTAAAAAATATAGAAATATAGAATCTACCCTAATTTTAAGGACTGCACGCACTTTTAGACTTTTTCAATACGGTAGTTTGGCTAAAAGAGGTATATCTATAAAAAAAATCCACGGTGACTTATACCTTTCTTTGCACATTTATTAATGACATTAAATACTCTCTCAGTATGAGAATTACAAGTATTAAGACAATCGAACAATTTACAAAAATGATATTTAAAACGCTCTTTAAATACATTTTAAGTCTTCTTTCAATAAATTTTTCACCGAGCTTTTTTTCTTTAAAGGTTTCAGCTTACGCAAATAAGGTACAAAAAGAAGATAAAGAATTTGTCACCAGCATCTAAATTGTATGAGTTCAAACAAATTTGCCCAACACATATTGCATTTGAGAAGATAACCCTAAGTTTATCAATGAAATCTAAATAAATAAGAGGAAAAATTAAGTTTAGAAATGAATGTACGGTTTGATATGATAACGTAAGCCCAGTTCAACCATAGACACTTGGTTTCGGGATAAAAACCTCATTTTAGTAATATCCGAAAATGACGTTTTTAGAATCGAGACACCTACTTTAAAAATCATTACTTTCTATCAAATTTGAATTCTACAAACCTCTCAAAAGGTTTTTTTTATGCCTATGAGTTCAACAACAAGCAGATTATGTCCTTCACTTCGAATTCTATCAGTGCTGAATATACATGCAAAACAAGCGCCCGAGGACAATAATTACACCATGTGAGGGATCATCTCTCGTTTAAGCCAGTCCACATAGCTCAATTGGTTAGAGCGTGCGACTTGTAATCTCGACATTATTGGTTCGACTCTCGGGCTGGCAAACTAAAATTACTTATCAATCTTTCGGACGAGACTTTAAATTGAGGTCCCCTGTATGAGTGCTTAAACTCTTGGCACGCTAAAGAACCAGGAGAAGCCTATGAAATCGGGGCATCTTTCTGTATCTGTATCTTGCACTTTAATCCAAAATCTAAAATGACTAATACTCGTCTTGAGGACTCGCCCATATGGGCAGCCGTAACGAGTATAAATAAACTTAAAAACAATGGGAAGCCGGTAACGAGTATAAATGAACTTTAAAACAATGTACACACACATAAATTTGTATCTCCCGTTCAGTTCGATTTCATACAGATAATCTTTTAAATTCGATTTGATATAGATGATCAAAATATTCAAAAGTTCTTCGTGAAAAGAAAACATATAAGTTAAGGAGATAAGGAATTTAGACATAAAATATTGTGTGGTTATCAAATCAAAATATGTCGAAAATATCAAATGCATGGGCAGCAAACACAATTTATCAACTGACACGTAATGCCCGATCAACTCAATATTCGTCTTTTTGTCAACTCGAGAGAAATCGACCTCGTCAATGTATCTAATGGAGAACATGTTAATTTGATTAACTGGTCAACAGATGTATTTGTAAAATTCGAGTAAAAATATACATGTATATACATGTAGAATATTTGTAAATGTTATTGGTAAGTCATTGCTTTCGGGTAAGTGTAAGTAACCTTACTCCAGTGTCAGCATCCCAACATTAGCAATGCTAAAAAGTTACATTGGGTTAAATGGATAAAAACAGTGTCAGTATAGTATTTGACTGTGGCATCACCTGTCTATAGAACATGTAGATTGTACAACCGTAATTCTTTCATTGGTAGAGACACGTTAAGAAACATTGTCTTGTCCAATTCATAATCATGATACATGTATGTACTCGTTTAAAAATTAACCCACAGAAAGTAAAAACAAATACAGAAATAAGTTCTATAAAGATACTTTTAAACCAAAGTTTTAAGTATACATTCATAGACTAAACTACATTTACCAGGGGCCAAATGGACCAAATTGAAAAAAGAAAGTCTAAAAAATAAAGGAAAAGCTGTAATATTCTTATAATTATATTAAGCCACATTATACCTTAAAAAGTGTATTTCCAAAAAGATTTTATATTTAAGTTATTGTTTCCAAAAAGTTACTGATTGGCCAATTACCTGGGCAAACGTTTGTTGCGTGTGTTGCTTTTGGGCAACAAGTACAGTAAAAGTGATCAAGTACTTTAAGTTCCTTCTATTTCACCTTTTTCAACTTCGGTGGTTCCAGTATTCCAACTTGAATACTGTATAATCAACGTCTGCTTTTTAAATTTGTCTTTTGATGTATTGTCTGTGATATGCAAGCTTAGATTTCAAAATTCCATTTTTATTTAGTTCCACCCATTTTTTTTTTTTTTTTTCGTTAGCGCACTTTCTAATGTGGGAATCATACGCCGCTTCTTTTCATGGAATGTCACTAACGTGTCACATTTAAAGGTTCCATGATAATTAACCGCCAAAGGCCCCATTATAACCACCGTATGAAGACATCGGCGGATGTTTCTAAAATCAAAATTTCAACAATTTCTGTATTTGAATGTTGAATTTTGCTTATGTCGGTGCTAAGGGGCGTGGACGGAAACTTGCGCTTCCCAGTACCGTCCATGGACAGGCCAATCAAACCGAGCCTGCAATATTTTCAATTTTGTCGTTTGGGCGTTCTTTGGAGATTCAGTTTTTTTCTCTACTTCATTTACATTATGCTACCTACGATAATTTAAATTGAAAAAAGAGACTGTACATAGCAATTATAAGTCATTTCAAATATCAAATTTTAAGTATGGTGTATCTTTTAAGAAGATATGTAGTTTTTGGAAGAAAAATAGGTATGTAATATACCAAAAACACGCAAACCTAACGTGAACAGACCCAAGCAACCCTGCATGTTGACGTGATGGTTTTTTTTTTTTTGTTTTTTTTTGTTTTTGGAAGAAATATCAAAGAAGTTGATGTTGGCAAATGAAAATATTTAACTTCCTAAAGATAAAACCATGTGACAAGGATTTTAAGCAGAATATCAATTGTCACTCAGTCGTCTGAAAGAAAAAAAGATGGTTAAACGTATTGTTTATATTAATTTATAACAAATGATTCTGCTACAATACAGGATTTATTGCATGTTATTGGGTTGGTACGGTATATGTAATATAAACATCAAATATTAGAAGGATGTGATCTTATTTAATATGACTGACATCTAAATAACATCTATCATAAATGCTGTAATTAACTGCTAGGAGTGCATTGGAAAAAAACACAGGTATTTACTTTTTTTGTTAAGGGAGGGCTTTTGTTCGCCCAGTCCTTTCACGGGAGAGCTTTGTCCGCCCTGTCATTTTCACGGGTGGGCTTTCGTCCGCCTTTTTAATTTTAGACGGGAAGGCTTTTGTCCGGGAGGGTTTTTGTCCGGAAGGGCTAAGCTAGGAACAGTTCAACACGATTATGCACCGATCGAGATATTTAGTGGCGCTGAACCTAGTATGAGTAGAATGTATAATTAATCAAAATTTTATTTCACGCCGTTACATTACTTCCGCTTCCGATATATAGGAAAAAATCGATTTTGCCTAGCATTTCGGCAAATATTGGTTAGTTGAGACAGTTTGTACTCAGAATTAACAAATAGTTTATCATATGTGATAATTCATGTTTTGGTGCTGTCAGAAAAAACCTGAAAATAGTAAAAATCAGGATGTAACTGGGCCTGACGTCGAAGTTGATCAACTTGAAACTGAAAACCATGTGAAGCAAAATGATTCATGTTTTTTTTATTAATGCAACTTTATATTTCGGCACTTTATTTTCGTTTTACTTGAAAGTTAATGCTATTTCCAAGCAGACCATTTTTGGCTTGTTGAACACACATGTTTATTTAAAAAGTAAAAAAAGATTTAAAATAAATAAAAACATAGCTAGATCTTAAATTTTAAATAAAATTTTCTGTTGTTTGTCACAATGATAATAGAAAGGCATTAAGTGTCACATTTACATTTAAAACAATTGCATCTGATATATTGTTTATTTTCCTAGGATGCAATGACTTGCACAAGCGTAGATTTGGAAATAGATGGTCACTTAAAACAAGAGATTTTCTCTCCTTTTTTTTATACCGCAGGTTTCTTTCCCAGGATTTTGGGAACGTGAGCCATACCCATGGAATTGGGAAAATTTGTTTTGTTTTTGATAAATTAGGAAAAATTACATGATTTAAATTTTGCAGTAATTGCATGAATTTAAAGAATCGCTGTCAGGATGGCATCCTCAAACATTTGAGCACCATAACAGTGAACAGGGCTTTTTTTTCAGTTTTGGGGAAAAGGCCTGGCCTTTCAGTAGGGGAAAAAAATGCGCGAAAAAATGACATTTTGGGGAAAATCTCTTACATTAAAAAAATAAGTAAATCACTTTAAAATAAACAATAAAAACATGGAACAAAAGTCAGGTGAGTAATACACAATGAAAACAGTTCAAATCTCAGAACCATCTTCTTGGCCTTGAATTCCTTAACATACAATACCACTTTATTTAAGTTGGATATCACTTGAGTTAATATCATTTGTGGTGTTGCCAAGCTTCAACATTGCTGTAAGCTCCTCACAAACCTCCCCTATTTATTTCAGAATGGTTGCTTTGATTTTTCTATGTTAAAACTGCGTTGAGTGCTAAATTAATTAGATGATGATTCTCAAATGACATTTTGACATTTAATGCATAAAAATCAATTGATTATTTTATGTTTTGTAATTTATTTACTTAAACTAACTCATTCATCTCCGAATTCCAGCCGAAAACCAAACAGGAAGTAGGTCGCGAAAATATGTGATTATAGAATATTTTGCCGATTTTTGGTATTAATATAACTCCATATTCCCCCAGACTATGATTGAAATCTATAAGAATAAATAAGAAAACATATTTTTACAAATTTCTGCATATTTTGAGTGGAATTTTCACAAAGACAGGATGTTTAGAGATTTGATCAGCGTAGGGGAGAGGGTTGCCGATCAGCGGCGTTGGACTTTTTACTTGCAGGACAATCAGTAATATCAAACACTGAAGGCCCTATAAAAATTTTAACTATTTGAACAAAAATGTGATTTTTTTAAACAAACAAGCCATAATAGTTGATTTTATTCAGACCATGGGGAATTTTTCAGCTCAAGGGAAATTTTTTTCAGCTGGGGAAGTAGCCGTTAAACGGCTACAGTTATATAGCAAAAAAAACCCCTGGTGAAGAAGCCCTTACTTTCAAAAATTTTAGAATTTGTTATTCAATATTTTTATTTTGTAATTTTCAACTGGGAATTTTTTCCTATGGATTCGGAAAATAATACACTAAGTCTATTTTCAGTTGGGAATATGACCGAATATCAGCTATAAAATAAGCTAAAAAAATCCCTGAGACTATTTATTTGAAATTTATGGGATACATGTATCTTCTGTCTTTACCAGTTTCAATGTGAACTTATTCCTTGTTAATAATCAATCTTAAAATACGAGTGAAGATATTTTGTATGAAAATTAAAATATTTCATTGGTAGAATTCCTCGTTATTGGCACTTCCAAGACCCACAACTCTTGAATGAAATTTAACTGAATTTTAGCCCTTGCCATGTTGGTAAACTTGGAAAAATCCTCATATAAATTTAAATTTAAAAAAAGTCACCATATTTTTGTGTTTAACAGACTATTAAACTATGACAAGTTGTTAATTCATTTATTTTAATTGTATAATGTATTATCTTCATTTCAGATTAACAGTTGATAATGAGTAGTTCAGAGGAGGTGTCATGGATATCTTGGTTTTGTGGGCTCAGAGGAAATGAATTCTTCTGTGAGGTGAGTAGGCACATTTCTGCAGTTCTTTTAGGAATGGGTATGGCCGGCCAACCTAATCATGGATTTAGGTAAATTGCATGAAAACAAAAATTCATATCAGTCAAGTAGAGATAATAAATATTTGTTTAATTTAAACTTTAAAGGCACATTAACCATCAGAAACAAAATCAGGGCTCACGCTGTCGGTCGCCATAGTCGCCATTTGCGATTATTTTATAAGATTGGCGATTATTTTTGCATTTTGGCTACAAAATCTGGCGATTATTTTTTACTTCCAACAGTGTTTATATAAGGTGTAAAAATCGATAATGAATGCAGTAGACCCAATTAACACCAGCGGGGTGCATTCAATCGAGTGTCAACTTTTTACCGGTCACGTGCTGCTAACTATATTGCCCGAGGTGATAAAATACATGCGAGATGTATAATTGTATAAATACTTTAAAGATATTGTCCAGCATTTATAATAGCCATCAAATATCCGTCAATTAGCCACAAAAATCGTTTTAAAATTGATAAACTGCCCAAAATTTACCGTGAATTGCAGTAATTGCAAATTTTGATTTTTTTTGTTTTAAGCTACTTGACTAAATCGCCAGTGGAAAACAATGGTAAAATGTTTAAAAAGTATTAACTTCCAAACTACTATTTGCACAACAACCAAAATTGTGAATATTTCTTCAGAAAACAGGAAAAATCCGATTGTCACATATTTTCGCGACACCGATAATTTTGATATTTATTTAAAGGTGAAATAAGCTATGTTCTGTTTAAAAATCTTTACTACTATGGCAGAAAATTTGTATTTCATTGGTGATGATGATATTTTTCAGTAAATTATTCAGAAAAAAGGCTGCATTCTGTGAATGAGTTTGCAAACTTGTGTAATTTCTATAGGCTAATATGACCTAGATCTACTCCAGTTCTGTGTGAAATGTGGAAATTAACAGTGGTTATAGCTGACAAAATTTGATTAGAACAAACAAAAAAAGTTGTCTGAGTTGTAAAGTTATAATGAATCTTTAATATCATTGTTATACAGTAATTATACTAATTATAACGTTTTTATTCTGTTCTATAATAACAATTAAAGTTGTGGTTCTATTTAAAAAAGGTAGTTATCAATATACACAAATGTATCAGTTTATTTGAGAATCTTTATAAAACTGAAAGATATAAATGTAATGTTTATTTGAATCAACTGCTTATGTTGTTAATCGCTAATTCGTGAATAGTCCGCTGAACTTTTGGCTATTATTTTTTTAAGTTGAAATTATTGGCTATTATTTTATTTGAGCCAGTGTGAGCCCTGAAAATATTTTTGCTTCTTTGGAATAGGTGTGCACAAGATTTTTAATGTTGAAATAACAGTTAAATGGAAGATATTGATGTAAATATGAGAAAAAGTTTTCTCAAAATAATGACCAATTACATGAAAATTTGAGTTAATCTTTTGACTGCTGACAAGAGCACTATGCATTAGTTCATATCTATTATTTTGCTATTTATCTATGTATGCATACATTATGTTGCATATATTACTGTTCATAAGAACAAGTCATACAATATGTTTTCCCCCATACTGCTGTAAATAGTTGTTTTTCAGCCTTTTTCACATGTGAAATATGCATCTTGGTGTTTTAACAGTTAACAAACTGGTCACTGTGCTGGTTAGAGCAGTGTGCAAAGTCACAGTTTAGCATGCCAACAGTACTGAGGGTTAAATAATTATCGATGATGTCTGATCATGCCCTGCACTGTTCACTATACAGTCAGTTAGGATTACATGTACTTGCCATTTTCTTTGATTTTTGTAAAATATTTGATTTGCCATCCTTTGATATGATGTGATTTTTTTGCAAAAAAAACCCCAACAAACAATACTCAATTAACAAAATTTCCTTTTAGACAAAATTTCATGCCCACTATATTTAAGTGAATTCAAATTATTTTCTTATCTCATTATGTATTTTTGCAGGTGGATGAAGATTATATACAAGATAAATTCAACTTGACCGGATTAAATGAACAAGTACCTCACTACAGACAAGCCCTTGACATGATACTTGATCTAGAACCAGGTAAAAAACTTACATGTATATAAACCAGGGCTTTCTGTCACAGATAGGAAAAGGGTCCCTTTCTTTAATATTGGGGAAAGTGTACACATAGTAATTTTGAAAAAGGAATAGAAAAATCTTGATGAAATTTAGGAGTAAACTGCATGATTAAGATTATTAAAAAGAATTTTCTTGTAGGGAAGATGCAGATACACAGCCTCTGCTATATCTCCAAAAAGGTGTCTATAAAAAATGTTTTTATTTCTGACAAAGAAATTCTTTTATATCTGTATTTAATATAAAACCTAAAATGATTTATGTTATAAAATTAAAAATGGTTCTGGATTTGAAAAGAAGTATTTCCATCGTCATTGTGATTGATAACTTCATGAGAAGTGGGTGTGTCATGTACTGGTGAATGTAAAGACATGTAAACAATGGTATATGAAACAGTAAGACTAATAGAAGAAAAGACAGTGTAAAAGAATATATAAGGCAGTATGATTATTTCACAGTTTAAGACAGTGAGAAATAATACGAATCAGATACAAGTTAACACTAAATTCATTTAGTCTTTCAGTCAGATACATATATATATCTAAACTTATACAGGTGAGGCCACTTGCTTGCTCACTCGCTCACTTACTTTTTAATTGTTATTCGTTCTTCTTTCATTCAATAATGTAATATATTTACAGATGATGAACTTGAAGACAATCCAAATCAGAGTGATCTTATAGAGCAGGCAGCAGAAATGTTGTACGGACTTATACATGCTAGATATATTATGACAAATAGAGGCATTGCACAAATGGTAAACTTTTTATCCATATAATTATATAATCTATAATATAGTCATGCCAAAGTTTATACAATTTTTTATACATTTTATTTAAAGCTTTGAAACATGTAAAGTTATATTTATTCATTTTCAATGGGTTTGGGGAATAGGGAAGATGTTTAAGGTGGCAACACTCCTACACATAGATATATTTGTTTAAACATATTTATATAAGCTTGATTGCAACTTATATTAATCACTTTAGAGTTGGCCTCCCGGAACCAACCAGTACTGGTGTAATATGAAGAAACATGGTCCTGACCCAATTAGGGTTCAAACCCATGATTCCTGGGTTGAGAGGCAGACACCTTAATGGGCCCCTTCACCAATAAGCCACCACTCACCTTTCCATAAAAATATTACTACCAATTGAATTGCACTTGTATTCTTTGTTATTTTGCTGTACCTGGATCTAGATTTCTTAAGTTTTTCACCACAGATCAGTGTTTTTGCAAAGGGAATCAGCTTCAAATTTTACCACAAATTTTACAACTAACCACCCTTGGTGTATAACTTAACAGTATATTATATATATTTCAGATTGAGAAGTGGCAACAAGGTGACTTTGGTTACTGTCCAAGAGTTTACTGTGAAAATCAACCAATGCTTCCAATAGGTAATACATGTACATTATATATAGAGTAAAATAAGGTGCAGCTGTCTTAAATGATACCAATTTTACCAGGTTCAGACCTGAAGTAGGTCTCTCTGCCCATATCTTGGGACACTGACATTAAACAACAAACATAACATGTTGTTCTATTTGCCATCAAATGTATTGGTAAAAATAGTCAGAAATAAGTTATATCTCAGCCAGGGCTAGCACTGGCAAATTTTTCTGTCAGCCAATTTTTTTTTCAGCGATTATTGCGTGCATGTATTTTATTGGCCGGGTTGCACTGGTGCAAACCCGGGTTATAGTATGGTGAATGTCGGGCGGTGGGCGGCGGGCGGGGAAAAACTTTCGTAACAGTTTTCTCAGCAACTACTTATCACAGCCCCTTGATATTTGGCATACAGCATTGACACGTGGTCCCATACCGTGGGATTCAATTTCAGGTCTGTCGCTCATCCACTTCCTGTTTATCGACTTAGTTAAATTTTCAACATTAATGGTCAATGGTAGGAAATTTTCGTAACAGTTTTCTCAGCAACTACTTATCACAGCTTCTTGATATTTAGCATACAGCATTGCCTCATGGTCCCATACTGTGGGATTCAATTTCAGGTCTGTCGCTCATCCACTTCCTGTTTACCGACTTAGTTAAATTTTTGACATTAATGGTCAATGGTAAACATTTTTTGTAACATCACAGCCTCATGATATTTGGTATACAAATGCAACCCGGCCTTTTCTGTCTTTGACCCATTTTTTTCAAAAAGGCAATGGTACTGAAAAATTACCAGCATTCAATTGTCAGTTCTAAACTTACCTATTTTATTAGTTTATGTAACACTTTAAAAGGTGTGAAATATTTAGAAAAACATAAACTATCTCCAACTTTATTTTGGTAGTTCCATTTTTTATCATATTAACACAGCTAACTTATATAATTCTTTGAAATTGACAATAAACTGTTTTAAATTGGAAGTCCATTTAGGAAATTTGTTAACAATTATTTAATCTTACCAAGCATAAACCAAAAGTAATTAGTCTTTGCCTACAATATATAGCCAGACAAAACTACACTTCTGTGCTGTCTGGCCACTTTCAATAGGTTTGAATTAGCTCAATTTGTGTATTTTGATATTGAAATCCCTTTATTATTCAAATGGACTGTTCCAAATTTAAAACAGGGCTACTTTTAACACAAAATTTAGCAGGTTAAAGGTTAATCATTGTCTTTCCAAAATAAATTCATACATTCTGTATTTATTTTTACACTTGTAGGTTTATCAGATGTTCCTGGTGAAGCGATGGTAAAGCTGTACTGTCCTAAATGTCAAGATGTTTACACGCCAAAATCTTCCCGTCACCATCATACAGATGGCGCTTATTTCGGTACTGGGTTCCCACACATGCTGTTCATGGTTCATCCTGAATACAGACCGAAGAGACCAGCCAATCAGTTTGTACCAAGGTATATGATAGTTGTATATTTTCTATTATAGTACTCCTCTTAGGGTATGGGTTGCTGGTATGACATTTCTCATGTGTAACACATCCCTGTTTGTCTTCTGTATTCGGGCTAATCGAACATATGCTTATATGCATATACGTAGTGCGGATTGACCTAAAAATTGTTTATTTAACATTGTTAGATATGTGTACTTTAAAGTTCAGAAGCAATCGGCAATACCTGTAAAATAAGTCGGTGAAACTAAGTCCTTTTCGTTCTAACAAATTTATGGAAATATGAAGTACAGTGGGTACCTTACATTGTAGCTAGTCTTGCACTTTATGAAATACCTCAATATTTTGCTGGACTTAAAAAAAATTTATTTACTCTCAAAAGAAGGATGTGCAATGTCTTGATTTCATATTATTTTCAGTCAAAATTTGTGGCATACAAATTGAAAGTGTTCTTGGCAATAGATTTGCTTTGCTTTAAATTTGAAACAAACTATTCTTTTCTTAGGATTTTTATCACAAAATAAAAACAAGGAGATGCCAACCAGTACTAGTTGCCTTCACTGTCTCAACTATAACTTCTGTACATGCCAGAGCAGAGGTACAGTGTGAATGACCGAACAAAGGATTTCATGAACATTCACAACAATAGTGACCATATGAGATTTGAACACGCCCGATTCACAGTCCAAAGCTCTACCTATTGAGCATACCGGACAGCTATTGGATTGAAAAGCAGGCTGGTCTGGCTTTATACTGACCGCAACAGCTTATCTCTCTAGGTTCAAGCGTGGAAATGGTAATGAAGCTCTATGCAAGCAGCTTGTATTTGAATTCTCTCCCTTTAACTGTCTGTCTCTATACCTCTTGTGAATATCTCAACAATGAATTATCCTGTGTTATTTCAGGTTATATGGATTCAAGATTCACCCGTTAGCGTACCAGTTACAGTTTCAGGCAGCCGCTAACTTCAAAATGCCGATGAGGGGTATAGGACATAACAACAGTAAACGCTGAACAGAGACGTGTATGATAGTTTGACATCACTGTGACAGTTTTTGTACAAATATATCTCAAAATTTGTTCCGTTTAAACTATAAACACGACATTTTCTATATAAAATATCACATCATTATCATCACATAAGTGACATAGATTAATAAAAGCTATATACTTAATTAGTCATTGAGTTCCAGGTAGGAACTGTCATGTAAGGTAATGAGTTATGAATAGGATCTGATAAACTTAGACTTTAATAGTTTAGGTGCATTTTATTGTGTACAATTATGAATCAAATCTAAATTTCTGTGAACAGAATATAATGTTCACTGTTTTGCATGGGTTTTTACAATTGGACACAAGCATTCACATTTTCTGAGTGTTTATTTTTGCGCCCTGTAAGTTTACAGTGGAGCACATATGTCCAGGTTTGACAGTCAGTCTTTTCTGTCACCACTTTAACTCACTGTTTCTCATAATTCCTTCATTTATTGACTTATATCTTGGGCATTTTGGTATGTCTACTTTGAACCACTATTGGCTTGGATTTCAGGTCTTTGGTTTTATAAAAAGAAACTTTTTCTGAACTCTGTAAAAATCAGAACTTTCATTGGTCAATTTACAATTTGTAGCTGTTCCTAACCATTCAAATACTAGAGATCTTAGTTTGAGGTTTTAAATATAATGATAAACCTGGGACACAGGTTGACTAGGAAATTTTTTTCTATGTTCTTAGTACTTTCCTGGTGGTAACACTATTTATTTTGCTTTGTCAAAGTGTCATTGGATGTCATAAGCCATTGGTGGTACCAATATTTTTTGTTCAGTATTTTGACCTCACATGTCAGAGCATGTTTAGATATCATCATATATGAATCAAAAACATTTTTATATTGTGTCCAATCACCTTGTTACATCAGATAGACTTGTATTTGTAAGCATCATTGTATGTAGCCATTAGTGTGAATTTAGAAGATTTACTAAACATTACTATCAGTGTCGAATTTTAGTTGCTAACTGACATTTAGTTTTGACTAATTTAAGTAATTTTTATTATTACACCATTTGAGGACTTTGTTTTATCTGGCAATTTTAACTCTGTATTTGTACTGGTGGCAATACTGAATCGCCATTTCTAGAGTAGATTTAGGCATGTCACCACTTCTATGAACTCTGACAAGTCTATTTGTTTTTGGCAGCTCAATTTTGCTTATCTCAATTTTAGAAGTCCCTTTTAAGTAACATTTGGTAGTTCAAGAAATTAGTTCACAAATACATTTTAGTTAAACCTTGATATCTTAGTGTCTGATTCTGATGGAATTTAAATTTTTGATATTCTTGCAGAATTCTTAAGACAATGAACTTGGATTTTCTTTATAATTAATGGCTTTAATGGTTGATTCTTTGCGTTGTCTAGACGTGGTAATGTGACAAGATATTGTCATATGACTACATATTCTCACGATGTCAAGATATGGTCATGTGACTGGATATGGTCATGTGACTAGATATAGATGGTCATGTGACTAGATGTGGTCATGTGACTGGATATAGATGGTCATGTGACTAGATGTGGTCATGTGACTAGATGTGGTCATGTGACTAGATGTGGTCATGTGACTTTCTCTAGATGTGTTATTAATAAAGGTTATGAACTTAAATATGGTCATGTGATTAACTTTCATTGTGTGATTGCTTTGGGTCATGTGACTGGATACAGTCATGTGAATAGCTAAACTAAAAATAACTGTAACATATTGTTAAATGATACATAAATGCTTTTTATTCTTTTTTTATGTTTTTGTTTGTAGTTTCTATTCTGTTTAAGATTTTATACCATAAGAGGAAATATGAGGACAATTAGATAATGACCGATTTGTTATCTTCAAGCAAAAAATCATTGAAAAATTATTGGTCACAAATATTTTGGATTTTACAGTTTTGAGATAATGTAATGAAATGAATTTTATTTTGTACATTTTGTATGTCTGTCTTGAAAGCTTGTCATACTTCATGAAAATTCAATTTAATCTTTTTAAGATTAATGTATTATGTATTATTTGTATTGAGATTAAGTATGGGAATTAGAATTATTGTGAACAATATTTTTATACACAGGTTCCTGCTTTTGCCTGGAGTCATGCACGGAGGTTTGTGAAAACAGTGTATTGTTGAAATAATGTTTGAAGGGTACCGAAATAGTGTGTGTAGATGAGGTGCCTGAAATAATGTTTGAAGAGCCTGAAATATTTATGCAGGTGCCTGAAATAATGGATGAAAAGTGTCTGAAATAATGGTTAAGTTAGTACTGAAATATTGATAATGTACTGAAATATCTGAAATAATAATGTAGGTGCCTGAATTATTGTATGATAAAAAGTAAAGGGGCCTGATTTAATTTATAGTATGGAGATTAGGTTTTGAAGGTATAAAAACCTGAAATAATGTATGCACGTGCCTGAAATAATGTACAGAGGTCAGGACTACCTAGATAATGAATAAACAGTCCTGAAATAATTCTGAATTGCTGTAGAATGGCATATACATATGTGGTATTTTTTATAATCTGGCAGTAATTCTTAAATGTGACATCTAATCCAAGCATTTTGCCAACCTAAATTTGAACGAAACGAAATGAAATGTTAAAAAATACAAGGTTTACATCATATCTTGGGGGCATAACAAAATGTGTCTATATATATATACTAGTAATAGGATGATACCTTGTAATTAATATTGGAGAGAATGTCAACATTTTCAGTGTTGGTAAAAGTGCTTGAAAACATGAAAAAAATATTGACATACAAATGTATAATATTGTGTTGTTTTGAGTGATGTCATCTTTGTATATTAAAATATTCACATCATTTCCTAATGGGTGTTTTTTTCTTTCATTTCCGGCCCTTGTTTTTCTATTTTGAAGCCATACTTTTTACTATATTCTCTATCTTTATACATGTATTTCAAATTTCTAATTCAATAGCTGATCTGAGTTCTGCAGACCAGATTTGTTTATAGGGCAGTCAAGATGGACAACGGGTCAAGTTCATATACCTTCCTTTAATTATGCTAAAAGGTCCAGTTAGCCTCAGAAATGCTAAAGTATTATTTTTCTAAAGATTTTAATTTTATTTATATATGTTTGTGTCTGTTTACAGATTCCAAACGAATTCCTTGACCGAGTGATAAAGGTCATTGACTCTAAACCACTAGCCCCTCATACAGTGGTTTCAAGTCCCTCTAGGGACTTCAATTCTTTCATATGAGGAAGCTTTCCAGCTCGTTTACTGAACATCGCCAGTTCTGCTCCGGTACCCGTTTGTGCCTGAAATATTGCACGGAAGGGCACCTGAGGTCTTTTTTCACCAGTAAAGTTGGAAGGTTGCCGTATGACCTTTACAGTATCGATGCGACGTAATACCAATTATGTAACACATGTTTGTCTTTTCAATTTCTGAGGAACAATGTGGATTTAAAGAAATGAAACCAATTTCAGGATCATTCAATCCGGATGCCTGAATCTTTTTTGTATAGACATCTTCCAGAGGTAAAGCTTGAATGCAACGGGCGTTAAGGTTCAAAACCCAACCAAAAGTACATTAATTTTGTAGTTAGAATAGTGAAGACGTTTTTCTTCGTTGAAAATGTTCAATATTTTTTATAGTCAACGACATCAAAATGGAGCTAAAAACCGTTAGATATGATGTTTTATCCTTTATTGATATTGTCATCATTTTTAATGGCTCAGCATGTCGCAAATTTTATTTAAAACCGTAACAGTCAGACACTTATCGGATTGGAAAAAGCAACAACTGTTTTTGTTTTCTCTGGAAATTCGCCTAAGGTGTGACAACGACAACTAGAGAAAACGAGCAAATTAATTAAAGTAGCACCCAGTGCCAGCAATTACTCTAAAATCACCAATCTGTTGCAATGCTATTATTTTTTACCTTTTAGGCAGATCGAGATATTAACTGTAGATGGGTAGTTTATAAAACAACATTAACTTGCCGTAAAAGAGCGAATTATTTTATATAGTTCTTTGAAAATTGCCATTTCAACATTTGGTTTTGAATGTCCTTAATGATTATCCACAGATATCTGCGTAAAATTAGGAGGTAAGCGCTCGTAAATGGAGAACTGTTGCAGCCGATTTGCGTCATCATATGTATACATGGAAAGGTTAAATGGAAAAGCCACATTGCGTTTTTTTGTATTTTCTGATCGCAAGATCAGTAAATACATAGCTAACATGCACGGTCTAACACAAAATTTCCTCACAGACCTAACAACGCAAAGTAGTTCTCACTCAAAACTGCTTAAAAACCAGCAATTTAAAAGAAAGAATAATTTTTAATGTAGGCATTAAACGAATTACAGTGCATTTAAAGTTTACATTAGTCAATAGAAATATGAGGTTACAATCACAAATTTCGCGGATGAATATCTTTTTTACCCAATGAAAAATGTTCGACTATTTCCGTAAAGCTTAATCAATGAAAATGCTATTTTTAGCTATGTCGATTACCGAATACTCCAGAGCGTAGTACACAAATAAATCTGACTGTGGAGTAACGGAATATATACATGTCGGACTGTTTTGGCGAGAGGATTTTCGCTAAATTATTTTCATCAGTGTTTAACAACAGGTTTATCGTGAACAAAATACCTTGAAATTAATAAGGATTACAAATACGAAATGAAAATTCTCAATTTTAGAATTACAATATATTTGTTTTTATTCACGCTACATACTTATTACTTCACTGTGGTGCAGAGGTAGCGCGCTCGTTTAGGGTGTGAGAGGCCTAAGGTTAAAATCCTTGTCGAGGCAACATTTTTTTTTGAAGTGTCTTTTTTAAGGAAGTAGCCACGATATGCAAGGATAAAGTGTGGCTGTAATAAAAAATTAAAAATTATTTTTGATGCAACTCTAGGCATGCAAAATTCCATATGTATCAATCACAAACTGTTAAACGCAGTCGCTGCGTAAAATATAAAAATAAACTTATACAGGAAAGATCAGAAAATACCACAGAGCATGCAGCCCTTTGATTTTTTGTTTTAATCATTCTTTTCTGCTTTGGCGGTATCACTATCAATAAACTCAACAATTTAATCATGATTTCGCCTTTCGTAAAACCGCCGCTCCATAGGAAAAAACTAAACCGAACAAAAATAATTCAACTATCAATCAGTTAGTCAATCAGTCAGTCAATCAATCAATCAATCAATCAATCAATCAATCAATCAATCAACCAACCAACCAATCAAACAAATAATTAATAACACATTTTTACGTTTAAGGAAACGTTAATTATTTTGCGTATTTGAAGAGTGCATATAGACTTTCAGATTTTGTCAACTATTTTAATTTTTAGTGATTTAATATTTTGTAAGGAAGTCAAAATACTACTTTGTTTACATTTGGCTACTTTTATGACAAATAATTGCACCTTCAGTCCTACTTTCTTCAGGTGATAAGCATCAACCATGATCTTTAACTCAAATGTTACAAAACTCATGCTTTTGTCTTCCAAAGAAGGAAAATAATATTCTTTTCTGAGGTATGAATGTGCTTTTCCTCTGATATTGAACAATTTGATTTTCTAATAAAGTACATGTATTTTATAAAGTACATGTAATGGCAAATGTAAATGACAGAGCTACCGTTATTTTCAGGTAGGAATAATATTTCAGCAATGTAGTTAGGCAATGACTTAATAAATTAATTATAGGCTTATTATCTTAGTTTAGACTTAAATTATTTGATTATTTTGTTATTGTACGATATCGTTGTCGATTATATACTTATTCGAATGAAATATTGAGAAATAATTGATAAAATAAAATGTGTAATTTCATTTTTTTTCCATATTTTAACTGTAAGAAATTATTTTTTCACTGCAGTGAAACATATTTTCTGAGTTTTCCCTGGTGTTTTGTCGGACTATACTTTCTAATAAATTTAGTCAAAACACAAAATAAGGGGTAGTCTTTCAAACTTTCAAATTACATTAAAATGTCAAAAAGAGAAAAAGGTATATAATTAAAAATTATATATAAAGATTTCTTGGTTCCTTTAAGAAACAGCTGTTCTATTAGATCAATATTGTTTTAAATGTAGACTTTAAATGATTTTCATCTTCTACCTATATAATTTTACAAACATTTCACAATAACAGTTTTGTGTCAATATTTACCGTTCATAATTTTATGATTCTAATATATTTCACTCATACAGTGACTGCATGCTTTTTTTCTTTTTTCTTCTTTGAAAAAAGATGTATCCAAATGTCTGATCCGGATATCCGGATGGCGGTTTCGGCTCCAAGTGACATCCCTACATGTAAAAGGAATCTGCGATAGTATAGTCTCATATAATTGAATAATGAATGACTATATTTTATGATAATACTCTATTTGCGATGTACAATAATGAAACCTAAATACACACATAAGTATAATACAATTGGCATTTGATTCAATATTTGACGAGTGACGCGGAAAGGAAGCGCGTGGACAACAGATATTGGAGAAAACAGGTATGTTTGTTTAAAGCTGTTGATTATTTTTTCGTAATTTGCTCAAGGGTGTGGGATGATCTATAAATTTTAACGTTTTGTTTTATTGAAATCGAAAACTACTTTAACTTTTAAAAATTTGATACATGTAATAGATACACGGTAACCATTTTTTTTCTCTTCGTGTGCTTTGAATAAGAATAGCACAACCCTTTGTTAACAAATTATCACAAGATTTTTGGTGTGTTTTTTTCTCCAAACTTGTCATTGTGACTTTTTACTTGCTGAATTAACGTAACACATTTGCGTTTGTTTGTTTGGTTTGGTTTAACGGCGCACCAACGCAATTTTTGTTCATATGGCGCTGAAACAGGAAAGATAATTTTGGCTAACGTCGGGTGTTACAAACTTAAAGCAACACCAGGGATCAAAACCATCTTACCTGCTGGAGCTAAGAGATGCCTAGACTCCAATCATTCGAACCCATTTAGTCGCCTCTTTAAGATAACACAGGGATTAATGGACTCTTCCGAATTCAAAGTTGGGCAAATCCATGTTACAAATTCATGATGGTAAATGCTGGAATCTCTATAAAGAAATTTTATATGAACATAACATGTCACTGGTTTATTTAATGTTTTCCAGTTTAAATGTGGCGACCGACGCTCGAGTTTGTATTTGGTCTGACACTAGGGTTTGTCTATGCCTACTTGAATGCTTTCTTATTATCTGGTAAGTTATATCAAATTATGTATGCGCAAAACAAAACAAAGGTCAACCGATTAGGACAAAACATTAGAAAACATATTCCATAGTTTCCAGGCCAGTTTCAAAAGAATTACATAATTATCATATGTAGCATTGAATCTAACTAGAGTTTAGATCTGCTTATTTCTTGCATGTAATGCGTAGCGTTATTTAGGAGCTGATATTAAAAGCAGATTGATGTATGTACTTACTTGCATTAATGCAAGTTAATTTGTCAAATACATAGGTTAATTATGATATTTTTTTCGAACTTTCAAACATCTTACGCATTCGTTATTAATTTAGTTTGCTGAAGATCACATGTTTCCCATTCATATATTTTCGCCCCTTCCATACCTTAGCCCCTCCAAAATACCGACTCCTTCTCTACGTAAGACCCTACGGCATACCATCTCCCTCATTAGCCCAGGCCCTCAAATATACCAGAGCCTTCTATATACTTCCTATATACTTTACTACACTAGACCCTCCGATAAACCAGTCCTTCCATACACTAGACCCTCCTATATACCATTCATACACTGGACCCTCCAGGTCCTCCAGGATACCAGCACTTCCATATCCAAGACCTTCTAATACACCAGCCTTTCCATACACCAGACCCTCTAATTTACCAGCCTTATCATATCTAGACCGTCCAATATATCCGCCTTGTCATTCGTCAGAACTTCCAATTTACAAACCGTTCATTACGTTTGATCTCCAATATATCAGCCTTGCCATTCACCAGACCCTCCAATATACCAACCCTTCAATACAACTGACCCTCCAATACACCAGCCCTTCAATACAACTGACCCTCCAATAAACCAACCCTCCAATACAACTGACCCTCCAATACACCAACCCTTCAATACAACTGACCCTCCAATACACCAACCCTTCAATACAACTGACCCTTCAATACACCAACCCTTCAATACAACTGACCCTCCAATACACCAACCCTTCAATACAACTAACCCTCCAAAACACCAACCCTTCAATACAACTGACCCATCAATAAACTAGAATGTCATGTCAACTCGTCCTGAAATAGTCTCCTACTTATAGTTTACACAATACAAATTTATTTTAGTTTGAATGTGTTGGAAGCTATAATTAAGCCTATTAAAACACTCTCGAATCCGTTCCTGGAACCAACCAGTTCTAAGCAATGAGTTTAAAATTTCTTTCTCACTGAAACAATAGCCTTGCCCAGAGGGGGTTTGAACCCACGCGGCCAGCAATCCTTACACAGTCCCCTATGTTTGGTCAATTCTACCAGGCATTCCATACGCCAGTGACCAGACCCGTACCTAAACCAGAGCCATACGTATGTATACATTGTACATATACCACCCCTTCCCGACCCTTCAGTATATCCAGTCTAAGTAAGAACAATACTTATTGTATTTCGTCGAGTTTGCAAAACGCATAAATACACAAAAGTTTTTAAAATGAACCAAAAGAGAAAGAAATGTGCGACAATGACACTAATTCTGATTTTTGTATCATCATTTTGTAGACTCATTCTCCAACCGACGATCACTAAAGTGTAACTGTGCCCAGTCTAGAGACACCGTACGTGATACGCTGCCAATAAAATACAGCACAAGAAGTGAACCCGCCACGGAAGATGGTGTTCAAACTTTGCTTACAGACGTTGATGCTACTCGCTTAACAAACTCAACAAACTATACACGGTCAAAAAATGGTGCAGTAATCATAAAGTGTATTTGTAATCAAGTAAATTGTTTAATTTTAGGGAAAAAAATCAACAACATTGGTTCGATAACAACATATTGCGCATTGGATCGTGGGATATAGCTTTAGCAGACGATATATAATTTGTCACGTAAATGACACACGTGTCGCTCATTTTGATAAGATCTTTCAACGTGATTTTTTTTAAAACAAATTTAAATGCTTTAACATTGATTTACAATGAAGATACACAGTTTTAGGAAGAAGTCTGTCGTTGTTACCATGGAAACGAAATTAAGACATAACTTAAAACAAATAGTTATATTGAAAACAACATATGCCACACTTTATCTATGATATATATCAGGATAAATGAAAGAAATTCATTTTCACTTAAGAATGCGTATTTTCTTGTTTCTTTGTAATATTTTAATCAATTACAACAAGATGTTTTGAAGTTAGACAGCTCTCGCAACATTTGTTTCCAATTTACCTTTTTATCTTTTGCTTGAATCAGATTTTATAATCATGAAATTTTCCTATCTTTCTCGTGAAACGTTATATATAATCGTTGAAATATTGCCGTGGAATTTACTCCGGGTGCCGAACCTCAAGTTTCTCATCGTTGACCCTTCTTTCATGACTATCTCATTGATTATATGCGTTCTGTTGCATTTATCAACAGACATTATGTATGTAAATCTAGAGAATTAGGTACATAATTTACAATCGCAACTTTTCGACCCTTATCGTCAGTCTTCGGACACAATACTGGAACGGGATTTCGGTCTAACCTAAGCTAAGAAACTAAACATGAAAACAAATAGTAATTTAATGCTAGTGGAGTTGAAGACCATGCATATTTACACTGATTAATTGAGTGAAACTCCACCCAAAACTTCGACGGGGGCGATAGCGACCGAGAATGTTTCTGTATTTCTGTAGAAAAGCTACATACTCAGTGTCAAGCTTTATTTGGTTTCATTAATATTCACTTTATTTTACGTCACTACATGTCTATTTTTACGAACGCGGTTCTCTGAAGCTTGATTTAGGAATATAAAATTCAACTTTTCATCGAAATAATTCGTTATTTGTTTAGATCTACATGTGTATGTTTGAAGTCTGATTTACTTAAAAAAACCGGTTAATACCTTTCCATCTTTTTCATTCGTTTTAGACACAGGAAGCACCGAAAATACACCAAAACGTAATTTTCGCATATTTTGTTGGATAATGACAAGCCCAGCGAATTTGGAGAAGCGTGCGAAATACGTACAAAGAACATGGGCCAGACGATGTGATCAGCATATATTTATAAGTTCGCAGACGAACAAAACTTTCCCTACATTTGGTGTTGATACATCCGAAGGCCGGTACCATCTGACAGAGAAAACTATGCTTGGCTTTGACTATGTTTACAAATATCATTATAATGACGGTGACTGGTTCTTAAAAGCAGACGACGACGCTTATGTCATTGTCGAAAATTTAAAATATTTTTTATCCAATCAAAACACAGAAGAACCGATTTATTTCGGTCATCATTTTAAACCAATCGCTGAGCAGGATTATTTTAGCGGCGGGTCTGGATTTGTGGTTAGCAAGGAAGCGATGCGACGTTTTGGTAAATATGGCACCGAATCAAATTTATGCAGAAATCAACATGGCGTAGCAGGCGATGTAAATTTTGGTAAATGTATGCGGAACTTAGGGGTCAAAGTTGGTAACTCAACAGATAAGTACGGAAGGAATAGATTCCATTGTTTTAATCCGGAAACACATTTGAGAGGACACTATCCGTTATGGTACTATTCATATGACGCCAATGGAGCCCGATATGTAAGTAATAGAATATAAAACTACATATTAATTTACATCTACTTATACTACTCGTACATCAAATTACAAATGTTTGAAGAAAACAACAACAACAACAACAACAACAAGAAAACAAAAAAAGTTGCAGGGTGCGTGACAGTAAAAGAAACAGAAACCATGGCTTGAAAAATGCATATACTTTTTAAATTTTTCATTGAGTACACACCAACTTTTTACATTACAAAATAGATTATACAATTTTGTACTTTGTAAAATGCACGGTGTTCGCATGATATGAAAAATACCCTTTTCGAAAGAAGGTATATTGAGCACAACAGTTTACATTTTATAACCCTGGCCCAGTTTCGGAGCACTTCGGTGGGGGGGGGGGGGGGGGGCGTTAGTGTATATATGAGCAAAATTTGACTTGTACAATATAACATTTTTTATTTTTTAGGGAACAGAGAGCATGAGTAAGCACCCGATCTCATTTCATTACATGGAGAATCAGATTCTAACTGTCCATCATCTTCTATACCACGTCAGACCATATGGGATTTCAATTGATGTCACTGAAGATATTAATCAAGAACACACGTGAATTCCGTGCACTTTTCAGACCCAACTTCAGCAGTGTTTGAAACGCAAATAAGAATTGTACAGTTGAACAATCATGCTTATTTATGTCGAACAGATCCTCGGCATGTTTAAAATATTTGAGTTTGATTTGTTTTTTATTCAATTACTTTTGGACTGTTGTTTTTTTTGTGGTTAAGTGTTTATGAACACGAAAATGTATTTTATATGTAGTTTTGCGTACATTTAGAAATTCACTAATATTTTTTTATTAAAAATTAAAATTCTATATAGATCTTATTCATTATTGTTTTATAAATTAGAAAAGAAAGAAGGAATGCCCATGCAAAACTTGAAAACTCTTTGTATAATTATGTTTATGCAATACTAGAAGTCAGTAACAATAATCCCTTTGAGATAATGGAGTTCCATTGAACTACAATGTTGCAATACATTATATAAAAAGGCCTTTGATTCATACTGCATTGTTATACCGCTAATTCGGGACAACAGGTAATTCGGGATAACAAGTAATTCGGCAAAACTGGTAATTCGGGATAACTGGTGATTCGGGATAATTGATAATTCGAGATAACTGGTAATTCGAGATAACTGGTAATTCGAGATAACTTGATCAAATACTACAATTGTTGAATATTTAACACTTCACAAAAATACTGGAACCGGGAGCAGCAAAAATAACACGAGAAACAGAGAAAACAGCAAACGACCTGTTACATATCAGAATGATTAATTTCTATATACTCAATATATTTCTCACAAAACAACACCCTTTCTATTGTTACATGGAATTGATAGCATTCTTAATAATAATGATATCTACGTTTGAAAACATGTTGTAACATATGCGTAATTTATCAAAGGAGTGTTTCTTCACGGAAACATAGATGCGCCATCATTTTTTTATCATATATTTACAAGAAAATGAGAAGTTAACGTTAATTGGAGATTTCATGATAATTTACCATAAAAATTAAGATAAGGAACAGCTTTTGACAAAAGTTATATAATTTTCTCAAAGTGCTTAAAATTCCACCTTTTAAGTTTTATATAAAAAGTTTTGTGAAAATAATAGATTTATCACTTAATTGCTAAAATTAGTTTCAATTTCAATAGAAAATATTTGGCTTTACATACGTTTGCCTGTTTAAAGAACTAACGCACAAACTTTCATGTAAGATAATGGGATTATTTATCTGGTTTTATGAAAGTATCCATGATTTTCTCGAGCGTTCCATGACAAATTGTCGTTAACATGAGTAGTAGCGTAGTTACGCTTCCGTATTTTCCGATTAGCGGCTTTTAATTAATATAAAGTCAAACAGAATAGAGTTATTCTGTATAAAGCGCTGCAAAAGGAAAATGGAAACACGCTGGTACATAATTAGTACATTTTCAATATTATTCGTCAGCCTTGTTTCCGTTGTACCCGAATAATTGTCAGCTTGTCATCAACTGTATGTAAGCGTCACGCTTCAGTGACATCAAACTTGATTAAAAAGCTATCTCACAAATTACCACTTTCACTGCCTTTCTCTGCAACATGTTACATTTGACTTAGTCAAAAAATTAGATTTTCTTGTTACCAAATGTTGCTAACGGTTGTGGGGCGTCCGCAATGAAAAGAAAGGTGTGTGGTTTTTTTCCCGTACAAATCGTAGAGATTGTCAGATTTGATATCGACACAGCATGCCTGTCTTCGTACTTTCTTTTCCTCGTTTTGTCTTCTGCGACTCGTTCGTTCCTCAATATTGCTAATGATAGATGCAACAGGTTTCTTCGTTAATCGATTAACAATCCTGTCTATGTACAATGTGATAACTGGGATAGAGTATTATTTGAGTTGTGAAAGAAAAAACAATCATCGGCGGAAAACATCAAAGTTAACTAGCCATAGATTATTACAGATATTGACAATTGTCAAAAAGAACAGTTTCACAAACTGTTGCAAAATCATTCCGTGTATGACAACGCTTCAAATGCCGCGTTCGTCATTAATTTACCTCCTATCTGACGAATCTCTGTCTTTATTAATTATAATTTAAACGAAATATTTTCCCCATTATTTGGATTCAAACGAATTTTTTTTTTATCTTTTCTGATACTTCTCGTCAAAGGCAACTTATCTACCAATATTAGAAGCAAACGACATCAATGAATATAAAAGGGACATCTATAGATAAAACTAGATAAAATCTAAATTACATTATTACTTTTGATGAATGGCACGTAATTCGCGTGCAAATTCAAAAAAAGATATACATTTGTAACACATTGTGTTTGCGCGTGCATGGCATATCGTGTGTGCGCGTGGTGTCGTATGTAAAAAGTTTATTTCTCTCTTTCATTTAGCGCTTATCACCTAAAATGTACTGGATAAACCAAAGATAGAATTTAATAGAATTATCGACAAGAACAAATGGCAAGAAATACCTTATGTTGTATGGAAATATATATATAATCAAACAAAATAATGGAAACGCCCGTCGTGGCGTTGTTTGTCGTCTGCCGCGTTATTCTTTAGTATTTACTTCATATGGTCTATATAGGTTTTTAATTCATTTTCTACAAATTTTCTATTGTTCTTCGGTATCGGTCATATCCGTATAGTTTTTTTTCCAGCCCCGTTATTGAAAAATCACTGTGTCTGTTTGTGTAAAAATGCGCCGCTAACGGATCGTTGTAATATATATAAATATATATAAAAAAGACACCAATTCTTAAATATAAAACACTTTATTTATTCTTCCCAGCATATATATAAACTCTAAAATATAGAAATATGTAAATAATGCATATAACATGTAAAGATGAAAATCATTGAAAATTCATGTGGACAGAATATTGTAATAATAAACAAAGCCATTTGTTAGATTGATGACTAGTTCAAGTTAAATACATACAATAGTTACATTACATTTGACTAGAATGATATTCGGATACTTTCGTTTTTCTATTAATAAATAGATCATTACATTACATTACAATTACACGTACTTTACACGTTAAATACCCGACTCTCCAAGCTTGTTTTTTCCCCTATCAATCTGGAGTCTTGTTCACATCTATTTCTTTTAATCTTTGTAAAGTTATATACTGTGCGGCATGACTGTTAAAGATTTCTATGTTAAACAGCGCCCAAATGCTCTAATTTCTGATGGTATTAATCCAAATCAATTCGCTGGGGCTTGTAAAAGTCAAATTGCAGGCGGATGAAATCAAAACTTGGCATTATTATATCGGTAACTATTACACCTTAATATGCTTTCTGCCCAATCCCAAAATGTACTTTGTAAATATTGTTCACTTGTTAAATACTTTGTTGAATAAATATGTTTAAACCAATATGCTAGAGGTTTGCACCTATTGTTGTAAATTATTATATATTTAGTTTATATTACCCAGAAGCCTGCTGGCGGCGACATAATAAACCCATGTGACCAATGCAGCCCAAGACCAGCCGGAACATTCGTGCTTACTGGTCATGGTCTGCACTGTTCGCTATTTAGTCAGCACATATTTTGAAAATTTCCCTAAATTGATTAAAGCAGCACGCCTGTAGGTAACATGCTAATTTTCATGTAAATTTTGAAAATGTATTTAAAATGTAAAATATTGTGAAGTGAACAAAGAAAATAATTTACACATTGCAAAAGAAACTTACAGCCCATGTAAATGACCCAAAAGAGGTCAAAATATGCAAAATTAGCCATTAATGAGTTAGTAACATAGTATAAGCTAACGCGGCAGAAATATGTTGAAAAATACTGCAAAATGGGTCATTAACCGCATATAACATGGATATTATTACAAATGTACTTTTATCTTGAATCTTTTTATTTTTTCTTAAAATATCAGTACTATTTTTCTCAAGTTTGATTTTCTTGAAATATTTTGACTCATCTTTAGGCATGTCGCTTTAATGATTTAGTCCAGATTGAAGGATTTACAAATCCATTTCCATACTCGTCGAGGTATTAGTTGAGGTTGTATATTTCATAAATACATCTTTTATTACACTTCAAAGCTAATATTACAATTAATTTTTGTTATTTTGGAAAATTGAATTAAAACTGATTTAAAAAATGGTAAATAACGAAGCTGCTATCATATATCCATAAATACCATATCATTCAATTCCTAAATATTACAATATAATTCCGTATACAAATAATTTACCACCAGAACTGACCCGCTTGAAGCCCTGATGGTTTATCAGGTACACTAGATGCGCTAGTCACATTTGCTATGCTTTTATTCTGAACACTTTTAGTTGATTCTTCGCTGTCGGACTCATCCGTTAAGCACATTTTAGCGTTATTCTCATGTTCTACGGCGGCTTGCTTTGCCAAAATGTAAGCGTTTAAAGATTGCATTGGTGGCTTGCCAATGGTGTATGACATCAGGTCCTGTCTTGGTAACATATACGCCATATTTGTATGAGGAAAGGCGGGGTATAGTGACGGTATAGGAGTCTGAAGACTCTGAGGGTCATAGTCCTTGGTTTGAGCATCAGCTAGCAACTGGTGCTGATGCTGCAGTAATAAACGATGATGAGATAACCCTATGGCTGCGGTGAATGGGTTGTGTAGGAATGACTGCCATTCGGTTTTAATCTTTTGATTTCTCTGCCATTTTGCGCGTCTGTTTTGGAACCAAACCTGAAAGTAAAAATAATTTTGAAAAAAGAAAATGGAAAAAGGAAAGAAAACATGATATGCATGCCTTAACCGATATGTGCAGACATAATTACTTACAACAACAACTCAATTTGATAGGTTATATACCAGATGGTAAACGAATTATTAGATGAGATTGTATTAGAGTTTGCAGTTTGGGGACCTTTCTGTTGAAAATGTGTCAGGGTTAAATCGTATACATATATATGTACGTGAAAAATAAATGCTGCTGAAGAAGGCCGCAAGGCCGAAAGCTACGGCAAATTTAAATTAGCGTTTTTGCTCATATATATGTATATATATATATTAACTGGAGTGCAGGTATTAGTTACCTGCACTCCAGAGCATGCCCATTAATTGGCTCAATTCTGCTGGGGTTTACTTATTGTGACGGAAGAGAAAGGGAAAGCGATAGCAATATCATATTCAGACGCTCGTTCATTGGTTACTTTTTTCTGGGGTTTCATATTGTGACAACAGGGACCGTGTCTTTATGTTTGACTATGATAAAAAAAGAAAGAACATCAAAACACTCGGCCTCGTGTTTCGATGCTCTCTCTCTCTCTCTCTCTCTCTCTCTCTCTCTCTCTCTCTCTCTCTCTCTCTCTCTCTCTCTCCCTATTACTTAAACATACGTACATTTTGTGAGGATATACTTCATGTTATGTGTATACCTTGAATTAAACAATAATTTTGAACCAGAGGAACTTGAAATTCTGTCAAATAAGTGATATTTACAGACATGTAAAAAAATAACCTATATACTATATCAATGATACAGTTTTTCGAAGTTTTGTCGAATAGGCAAATAAACGAAAACACGAACAGTTGTGTTTTTTAAATATAATTTTCCGTACTTTTCGGTCTACCGCGCACAAAACCTAACACGGTCCTAATAGGAATACCATATATGTGTGTTTTAGACAAAACAAAATGATGAATAGATAATAAAAAAAAATCACCATACCTTGACCCTGGCATGTGACAAACCGAGCCGTACAGCTAATTCTTCTCTGAAAATAAAACATAGTTAATAATTTTGTAATTTTCTTTTGTGATAAGAATTAACATAAAACAATAAAAGTAATAATTGGGCCCATGGTGGGCAAGCGATTAAGATAATTGACTTCAAATCACTTGTCGCTCACCGCTGTGGGTTCGGAACCCCGTAAGGAATCCGAATATTATTATGCAACACAGGTCAGTGGTTCTACGTCAGCTGTCTGCACGTGCCTGAAATAATGCACGGAGGGGAAACCTGACTTTTCTTTGGCAGAAAAAGCTAAAAAGTTTCCTTAGATATGAATAAATGGGTAAAAATCAATCGAGATGCTAAAAACATCACATTAAGAACATTATAGTTTGAAACAACAAGTTAGCGGCAATTAAAACATTTGTTATTGAACATTACTTTTTTCATACTTTTATGACAAAGCATGAAAATGAAAAGGTGAGCCATAAATACCTTTTGATGTTCATAGAAAACAATAACTAAATGAAGTTTGAAGATAAACAATGTTTAAGATCAAATCGATCTGCGACATAAGGTTGATTTTTTTTCTCTACAAAGGAGAACGTAATGCATAGAGATACGTTACATGTAGATTAGTAAATATGAAACAATCGTACCGACGAAATAACATATTATTTTAATATGCTTAAAGGGGCTCGACTGAGGTTTTTTGACACGACAGGACTGGGAATAATTTTTCGAAATTAATGTTCGATTTGATGTAGATCTAGACAAATAAGTTGTGCGCAAAATTTCAGATCATTCGCCCACTCGGTTTTTCCAGAATTATTATTCAAAATTATTACCCAATTACCAAAAATGAAAAGCGTTGCACAAAAAGGAGCTAGATCAGTACAAAAATTCACGAGTATCATTTTTAACTATCATTTGCATATCCTTCTGTTTTAAGTGTCCCAGCTAATCTATGTAAGTAATTCAAATTTTATGTTTTAAGCTTTTTGGACCAGTGGAGTTCCTTTAAAGCAGAACGCCTCTTTTGTAATACATACTAATTAGTCGTATTGGTAAGTTAAAATGTCTTCAAAACTATATGAGCCGCGTCACGACAAAACCAACATAATGGGTTTGCGACCAGCATGGATCCAGACCAGCCTGCGCAGTCTGGTCAGGATCCATGCTGTTCGCTATCAGTTTCTCTACTTGTTATACGGTTTGTAAGCGAACAGCATGGATCCTGATCAGACTGCACGGATGCGCAGACTGGTCTGGATCCATGCTGGTCGCAAACGCATTATGTTGGTTTTGTCATGGCACGGTTCATTTATCTTTGCTTACGTCACTTCCTATCCACATAATACTACTTCCGCTAGCTCAAACTTATTCTACCTATGCGAAAAGTGCAGAGACAAGATCATAATCTGACCATGGTCTGCACTGTTTCTATTCGGTCAATACATATTTCAAAATTGTTTCTAAAATGATAAATGGTTTCGTCCAGATTTAATGCTGGTAAAGTTCATTAAACATATTTAGCACGGTAATGGAATGGATGAAATAACCCAATTCTGTCATATTTAGTATAAACCATTCAAATTGTTTCTTACAGATTAATATAATTTTATTTTATTTCAGTCACTATAAATGCACTTTTAAACTTTGTATGTATTTTTGAGGATTCATCAGCTCATTTGCACGCTTTATTGCCTCCAAACTTAATTTACAAAAAAAAATCCATCTAAAAAATAGCTCGTTTTTATGTGTTTAAGAAGATAATAATTATCTATATTCACGTTAATACCAGTTACGCTCTAAATTTGTTCCAGTAAATTTTATTTCGTTTCCTTGTTTCCTAAATATGCATTATTTTGAATGACTATTTATGTACATGTACATTTGTAAATTTTTAATACCAAATAAAAAGATTCTGCTGGGTTGTGTGGATTCTACATGTACTAGAGTCTTTTATACTAAGTACTGTTTTTGATTTGTATATTAAAAAAGGATTTTATTCCTTCAATAATAATTACTCACCTAGTTGCCTCGGTAGGGTAATAGTTTTTCAGAAAACATTTCTCTAACTCCCCTAATTGGTGCTTCGTGAGGGACAGTCGTTTTTGTTTTGGCGGAAGTTTACAGCTATTCGGACATGTTTCGCCGGATAAAGTTCTGTGGTCCTCATACCTGAAAGCAAAGCAAAGAAAATCGTAAATAAAAATCGTTTAATTCCTTTTATTGAATTAAATTGATGAAACTTATTGTACAATTTCGTACGATTTGATGAATTCATTATCAATTGTTATGTTATTTGAAAATAATACCTAGTTACTTTGAAAAGCCCCTAATATTTATCTGAGACAAACTGTATACATGTATCGCTAGTTATGTTTTTCTTATTGTGCTTTAAGCAAACTAACAATTTCTAAAACTATATTTGAAAGATTATACATACATAGTATGTTACTAGCTAGCAAATTCAGATCTTTTAGAATATTAGAGAACTCAGTTTTCTTATATACATCAAAATAAATTGCCTTTCATTCACATTTTTTCAAACTAATCATTACATACTCAAGTATCTTTGATTTTAACAGACTTATATTATTCCTGTAGAGCCTATAAAAAATCCCAAGACTAGCAGGCGACTTTCAGACTTGTAAGAAAGACACTTTGCCAGGTCGCTAGGTCACAAACTGCACGCCTCTAGGCTGCTAGGCCCCCATCTATATTACACATTTAGCAGGGGTTTGGGTTTATGAAATTATCAAGCGATGTCCCATATAAAATAAAACTGTTAAATACCTATGTACTGATTCCACATGGTGTGAACTACATGCTTTCGGTCGACAATTACCGGGTACGGTTGACTCGGGTATGGATTTTTCGTGTCTCGTGCTCGAGCATGACTCGTGCACGCTGGAATGTCTATTACTGTCTCTTATACTTGCATGAAATGAGGGTATTTTAAGCCGTCTGTTATCGCTATCATGTTTATCATCATCTTCTAATCTGTCATCGCTGAGGTCATCGTTTTCACTATCGTCATCTCTTGGCGCTGAAACATTGATGTTATTAGATTTATTCAAAAATCCGACTTATTGCTTTTGTAGGTAAAATCGGCCGCTGTTTATTGGGTGATCCGTCCATACCAACACGAACAATTACCAAAAATAAATTCACTGTAAAATTATTAAACTAATAAAATGCAACATGAATGTATATTAAACAAGATATTAAAAATGTTGATGAAAATGATGATGGTGACGATGTTGATGATGCTGATAATAATAATAATAATGATGATAATAATAATAATAATGATGATAATAATAATAATAATAAAAAAAAAATAATAATAATTATAACAATAGTAATGTATAGCATTACACACTCTAAACGTTTAACCGTGATTCTACCCATGTATTAACCAGTGCAGACCAAAAAACGGTCTGCACTGATCGCTATTTTCAGTACCTAATTTAAAACTTTCTCTGAAAACGACGAATGGTTGTATCCAGATTGAAAAATGGACAAGTAATGGTAGTAATGGTTATATAACTATAATAATATCTCACCTCGGTTTGACTTCTCCTCATTATTTTGTTTAATTCCAATCAAAGAATCAATGCTGAAAAATTTACTGTTCATCTTCTATCGATAAAAGAACGAAAAGTTAAAACCACCAAATAAATTAAAGTTTTTTTTTCTTTTTGTTTTGTTATTTATTAAATAAACACTATATTTTCCAGGGGTATTTAATATCGTCTTCTGTAAAATTCTTATATGCCTATCTTATCAACACCTTATACGGTAGCAGTGAAATATTCATATCATTATGAGAGGAAAAGATTTGCGATTCATCTAACACATATTTATAATATAATTAAAATTATTTTAACCATAATAGAACGTATACGCTACGCTCGAGAGAGATTTAATCAATAATGGGGCGTGTCTTTGAATAAGCAGTAACTAACTAGGAGGGCGTGTTTCTAATTATGAATCAATAAGCCTGCCTCCGCCGCAATAACTATTTTCCATCTAGTAATATCGTTTAAAACCAGCCTATTATCACAAGGCGCGTGCTAGATTAAACTTGTGTTTATATTTGTTATTGACGCATCTCTTGAAAATAAGAAATTAACGCTCGTGTAACGTGAAATCGAAATACACCAGCTGTGAACAAAATCTATAGTTTTCTCCATTTTTGTAAAGCTTACATTAAGATTTTAATTTCAAAAGACATTATCAAAGATAGCTATAGATTTTAAAGTGACTTGGTCTATAATGAAAGGTCTGGAATACAATGAATATTTTACGTTCAGACGTAATAATAATAATAATAATAATAAAAATAATGATGATGATGATAATAATAATAATAATAATAATAATAATAATAATAATAATAATGATGATGATGATGATAATAATAATAATAATGATAATAATAATAATAATAATAATAATAATAATAATAATAATAATAATAATAATAATAATAATATAAAAACAAGAAACAACTATATATGGAAGATGCTGGCAAGTGTGAGATACATATGATCCGATATTATATTTATTTCTTTAGCAGATAATAAAATGTTCTAAAACAAAATGATGATATTCATCATATAAATATTCATTCTAATTAGAACTGTATCAACTTTTATTTTTCAAACAACATTTTACAATAGTATCTAAATGATACATTTCTATTGTTTCGGTCAATCAATATTTGAATAAACTTTAAACATAATTTACCGTACAGATTTGGAATAAAATACATTTTTTTTCTAAAATTTAGAAATGAGATTGAATTGTGGGTACAAAAAAGGCGGACGTCTTATTTTTGACGCTGATTTTATCGAAAGAAAACAAGATTTTTTAGCTTGATATCAACTTGATAACAGTAAGTTGTGTATCCCAAATAAATCCCAGTGAAGTTTTGATACTGCTACAATGTCTAACATCAATTTTGACAGAGAGAACAGTGAATATGTTCAAAGGCAGAAACGTCAACGTCGATCAACGGGTGTGACGTCAGTAGAACATTTTTGTCATTCAACTTCAAATTCTAATATACACTCAAATTCACAAATCCAACCGGCCATGGACTTGAACATATAAAACAACTCCCTGTAGATGAAAAGCTAAACTTTATTATCGAAAACATGTCTATGATGGGTCTCCGAAAATATCGAGTCGATACATGTATTTGAATTGTGCTAAACATGAAGTCACGGATGATAGACTCAAACTTCTAGAGTATAAACAATTTGATATTGAGGCCTACTTAACTAAAATAATTACAATCGCAACTTTCCAGCCCTTTCCGTCAGTTTTCGGATTATGAATAATAGCCGAATTTGTTCCGATTGAAATAATTATATTTGGATAGAATAAACCCGGTAATTTCCGTTTCCTCCTAAACAACGAGCCACTTGAAATAATAAAGGAATATAAATACTTGGGAGTACTTTTCTAATTTTTTGGAAGTTTCCTTAAAGCTAGATAATATTTAGTTAACCAAGCAAATAAAGCAATTAATGCATATACTTTAATAAAAAAAATTTAACCTTAATATCCCAGTTGATATCAGTTAAAATTATTTGAGACCAAACTATTGTTCATAAACTTACTTTTAGCTGCGAAGGTCGGGAATTCGAAAAACTAGATTTAATTGAAACGGTACAAATAACTTCCTAAGAACTATTACTAAAAGCACAAAAGTACACCATTATATATGCTATACGGAGAGCTTGGGCGCTACCCAATGGAAATAGTCATTAAATCGAGGATGGTGAATTATTGGTGTAAATTAGTTATGGGTAAAAGAAATAAAATTTCTCAAGTATGTTATGATATAATGCTCAGTTCTAACTAAAGTTATAAATGGTTACAGTATATAAAACAAATTTTAAATAACACAGGTAAAACATACATATGGGAAAACCAAATGAATATCAATCTTAAAAATGTTCAGTATGACAATAAAACGTACGTTGATTGACCAATTCTTGCAAAACTGGAATAGTTCATTCACAGGTTCTTCAAAAGGTCTGACATACCAATCATTTAAATGCGACAATAATTTCGAACAGTACCTCATTACACTACATAATTATCTAAGATTGACCTTTTTTAAACTTAAGAACAGGTAACCCCAGGCTCCCTATAGAAACAGGCAGTACGGGTGGAGGCAGTCTTTTGTCCCACATGCTGAACGAAAATGCCAACAATGTCAACTTAACGATTTGGAAGATGAGTTTCATTATATTCTCAAATGTCCTTTTTCCTAGCTTCTAGAAAACGTTATATAAAACTGTACTATATCAATAGGCTCAATATGCTTAAAGTTTCACAACTTCTGTCTTCTTAGTCTACCAAGGAACTTAAAAATATCGCCCTTTTCTGACAACATTTAAAAGATAGTCCAAATTAACATAATATACAATTGGTGTCCAATAAGTTAACCTTTCCCTTTCGTTTCAAGAAAGGTCGGCTGAACTATATGGTGACTGACTTGGAACACTTTTGTGCGTCGTGTTGTCGCTAGCGACGGAGCATTGTCGGGCAGCGAGTTGTCGCGATGGCACATTGTCGCTCGGCTCAAATCGAAGGACTTGCGACATCGCGACAATGCGCCACTTGACAGCAAGCCGTTTGGCGTGTTTCGCTAGCGACAGGACGACAAGACAAAAAGGCGATTCCGATATAGGGTGTTGTCGCTATCGACAACGCAACGCGCAAAGTGTACCAAATCAGCCACCATACAAGTAAAATATTTTCCCCAATCACATTAAATCTACGTTATATATATATCATCCTTCTACTTAACATCTGCGCAATAAGAATAAATGTAATATTTGATAACAACTGGTATAATATCCAAAAGAAAAACTAAAATTAAGCACGAAGAACAAATTGCATTTATAACCATACCAGTTAAATGTTTGTTTAGTAATCCTTTTTTTATGCATTATCCTTTTTTGTTTTGTTCCCGATGCACTTAAAGCAGCATGGCTCCAGATTCGTGCTAATTTTCATGAACAACTTTAAAATGTATTAAGAAGCAAAATAATATCAAGTGAACAAGGAAAGTAATTAACCCATTACAAACAGCACTTAAAATCTACGAAAAATGTCAAACATAAGTTGATTTTATTGAAATATTTTTGACTCATCTGGAAATATGTTTGACTCATCTGGAGGCATGCAGCTTTAACCTTGTTAAAAAAAGGTCTGGCAATTACAAGGAAATGCCACGAATAATTCATAGAAAGCGTGCCTACTTTAAATAGTAATACTATAGTAAATAAATATTCCCACGGTATCTGTTTACATTAACTACAGGTTTGACTGTATTTTGATGATCAACATTTGCTGTATTTGTTGTCTTTTTCTTTGTCACTATTGTTGTTTTTTCCATCTGACGAATAACATGAACGTATTTATTATTCTGTCCCCGTGACATAATGCTCATTTACCTTATATTGATAAATAGCTATTTAATATATGATTTAAATTTAACCCACATATTGTTAATATTTTAGATAAATTGTCATGTTGTTACCATATTTGTAACCTGACTTACCGATAAAGAGTATTCAATTGAATTGAACAGGACACTTAAATAAAAATCTTTTAGAAAATTAAGATATTAAGCATATTTAAGCTTAACGGGCCTTTAATGTAAACTGTTAATCATATGTTTTAATGGGGTCATATAAAACACACTGTCCACTCGCACGGTGCATATCCATATCGGTACCCTCTTTGCGAAATCTGCTGAAACGGTACCCTCTTTGTACATGCACAGGCCATTCTCTGCTCAAAACAAACCAGCGATGGATAACAAGCCAGTACAAATTCATTGTAATAAGGAAAGGAGGTATGACACGTGGAAAAGATGTATACCACGGAACACTAGAATGTTTTATCTATGTGCTGATTTGCCATGTGCCCGTTTTTCATGTACTGCAACTTCACAATAAGCTACAAAAAATCAACATGTCTTACCTCGCCCATCACCTCGACATACTTTTCGGGCTGAAATGAACCTGTAGCTTGATTATATATGCATCATACATATCTAATATGTTCATTTACATATCGTCTTCGGACAAATGGCAGTACATTGTCAAAAATAATGGTAAAATTCATAAAAACACCCTACTTTCAGATTTGCAGCGGCACGGGCTACCTCTCTTCATTTGAATTTTTATATCACAGGTACCCTCTCATTTTTTAACACATAGGTATACTCAATGCACGACATATGCTTTTAATTGCGTTAATCGTTAAGTATGTAATATTTACATAAATAAAGAAATATTACATACCTAACGATTAACGCAAATAAAAGCATATGTCGTGCCTTGAGGGTACCTATATGTGAAAAAAAATGAGAGGGTACCTGTGATATAAAAATTCAAATGAAGAGAGGTAGCCCGTGCCGTTGCAAAACCGAAAGTAGGATGTTTTTATGAATTTTTCATTTATTTTTGACACTATACTGCCATTTGTCCGAAGATGATATGTATATGAACATATTAAATATGTATGATGCATATATAATCAAGCCACAGGTTTATTTCAGCCCAAAAAATATGTCGAGGTGATGGTCGAAGCAAGGCATGTCGATTTTTTGTAGCTTATTGTGAATTTGTAGTACATGAAAAACGGGAACATGACAAATCAGCACATAGATAAAACATTCTAGTGTTCCGTGGTATACATCTTTTCTACGTGTCATACCTTCTTTCCTTATTATATTGAAATTTTACTGTATTGTTATCAATCGCTGGTTTGTTTTTAGCAGAGAGTGGCCTGTGCATGTGCAAAGAGGGTACCGTTTCAGCAGATTTCGCAAAGAGGGTACCGATATGGATATGCACCGTGACTCGGATATTTTGTATCTTTTGCACCAGCTCTCGCACAAAATCTTTAGTTCAACTCTCAAAATCTATAACCGTATGTAGAACTGAGAAAGTGACTTTTTGTACAACGCTATAAACACATTTTTATTGATATTTCATTATTAATCTTTATATGAGGATGAAAATAATTCTCAGTAAAGAGAAATTACTATGTAATGTGATGTTAATGAGCAGACTAGATGTAAGCTACATAGGTAAACGCAAGTAGTGTCCTCACCCCACGGGTCGCGCCCTTCCCCGTTATATTGGCTTACTTAAGAAGTACATAAATTACGTATTGGAGCAACCCAATTAATAATTTCTCACTGTTTTTTTTGTTTTTTTGTTTTTTGTTTTGTTTTGTTTGTTTGTTTGGATTTACGGCGCACAAACACAGGTTATTTCACTTCGTCAAAACAGGAACCTTGGATATTACAAACTGAAAGCAACACCATGGATCAAAACCGCTGTCGCCTGTTGAAGCTTAGAGGTAAAAAAACTCCAATTATTCGAACCAATTTAGTCGCCTCTTACGATCACTCTGATGCATCAACCCCTCAGCCACAAGGGGAATCTCACTGTCCTAACTGCAGCTCATTTTAAACATTGACCTGCTGAATTTGTGTAGCGGAATTGCCTTGCTTTAAGTTTTGAAACTGTCTAAAATCAATTGAAGATGACTGTTAAAAGTTACTTAACCAACAGTAGTGTATTTCTCGGGTGCTCGTGCGTGCCTGAAATAATGCACTGAGGGGCAACAGGGGTCTTCCAACCCGTGTTAATCTGGAAAGTGGGCATTTGACCATGTCATTGTCAATGTGACATCGTCTGCAGTCAAAGTCATTGACTTCGAATCACTTGCCCCTCACAGTCGTGGTTCAAATCCTAACAAAGACATTGAATACTTTCTTAGGAGAAAGCTATCCGGCTTATTAACGAAAGGTAGGTGGCTCTTTCCGTGTGCCCACTCGTGCCAGAAATACTGAGGTCTGAACCGGAAATTCGATACATTTTTGTGTATAATTATGATCCTTAAAGAGTCGGTGCGACAGAAACCCTAACCGAAACGAAAACAAAATATTTATGACATATATCGACAAGTACAAAAAAACTTTTCAGGTTATAAATCTTATTTTGAAGAACGAATGAGGATATTATTATGATTGGTAATGTCAACATAGTTTCTTTTACCACACATTTTATATTGCTTTAACAATAGGACCATTCAGTATCATAAGAAGAACGCCAGATTAAGCTACTTTGACTACACCCGCATCAGTGTCTATTCTAGGAGGGGGGATATGGGGAGGATTCACTCATGTTTTTGAGAATTCCCCCCCCCCCCTATTTTTCAGAGGCAGGGGGGAAATTTTACATAGAGAAAGAAGATAAAAGATCAACAAATGTAATAAATTCACATTTTTCGATAAAAATCCCCCACCTCCCTGTTTTTCGAAACCTAGAATAGACACTGCCGCATCTTTGTCGTTGGAACGCTTCAAAATATCAAACATTTGTAACACTTCCAAGAACATTATTTGATGAAACATATACATGCTATCGATTACTAGTTCATATACAAACATACATGCTGACTAGTAAATTGATTATAGTTGAATTATAAAGCACGCGGTGCCAGGGTGTGGGCGGGAGGATAGATTGCACTTTCATAACCTTTCATGAACAGACTAAAAAACCGAGACAGCAATTTCTAACCTTTTGATACATTTGTATTTGTTGTCATAGCTATCTATAGATTTTCCCTTTGAATGATTTTGCATGAAGGAAATCTTAGAAAATAACAACAACACACAACAAAACAACTGAAATTCAACGATTGATTTTAATTCAATGAATAATACCATGCAAAAATAATTATAAGACAACAGGAAAAAGTTTTCAGGCAAATAACGAGAAAGTTTTGCCTTTGATACCTTTCAAACAGAGAACAAATTTAACATGTATATACACAACAAAAAAATAAACATATGAGCCGTGTCACGACAAAACCAACGTAATGCGTTTGCGACCAGCATGGATCCAGACCAGCCTGCGCATCCGTCGCAAACCCATTATGTTGGTTTTGTCGTGACGCGGCTCATATATTAACGAGTGTGTGAAAATTGAAACACATGCAAAATTGTATTTAATGCCGAATGAAAAAACAACACTTTACAAAAACTTTAACAGTAAATAAACACTAGAAATACACTTGAGTATTTACTATGATTTTAATAATATGAATTTGTAAATGTGTAACAATATTTGTATTAACACGTCGCAAATGTACAGTATATACACTCAATATTGTCTCAAGCCTTTGAACTGAGAAATTTGTTTATTTTTATAATGTTACTTTCGCCTAAATGTTATGATAGGAACTATTTTTTCTTCTGTTAGTAAAATGATAATGGTGGTAATGATGCTGCTGCTGCTGCTGCTGCTGCTGCTGCTGCTGCTGATGATGATGATGATGATGATGATGCTGCTGCTGCTGATGATGATGATAATAATAATAATAATAATGATGATGATAATTGTAATAATAATAAGCTTTGAGCATATAAGTAGATCTATGAGTATGATGATCAGTTTTATTGCATTTTACTTTTTGTAAACATTCGTGACCATATTACCACGAAATTGTTCCGTTACGGCATTATTTAACAAATAAAACATGGGCTTGAGGGCAATATGCAAGTTTACGGACTGGTTGGTCAGACTGAGGAAGGTATATGCCCGAAGCGCAGCTGAGGGCCATATTCCTTCTAAAGTCTGACCAACCAGTCCGTAAACTTGCATTTTGCCCGAAAGGCCATGTTTTATTTGTTATATTATACCGAATCTAAATCCTTTCATCCATTTGTTTTGTGCTGTCATTTTACTATTATTTGCTTTAAAATGATAATTTTACTTGTTCAGTGTGTGAAATATCTCAAACCCTAGTCGGATTTTGTTTTATTATTTTCAAGCGATGTAGCAAAAAATCATGCTCTTCTTTTAATATTCCATTTTTATTAATCAAATTAAATATTTAATGTTACTAGGCAAAAAACCCGGACTTAAAGAATATTACAAACTGTGTAAATAAAATTTAGAATTAAATTAAAGACAAATCATGACTATTGATCAACATGTAATAAATTTATGTCTCTGATAAAAAAGCGAATCGCAGTATCGTCTGTTTGTGTCGTCGTGAAATTCGCACGTCGTGAAAGTTACGTTAAAACGGTCTTCATAAGAATTATGGACCGCCCCCGGTCTGTATGCGGTTTATGGACCGGATGACGTCATATTAAATATAGAAATGAGGTTTAATATAAACCTATATGACCAATATAGACCTTTATCTTCAAGACTTGCACATACTAAGAACGTTTCATCTAAATTGTATTGCCAATATTTCTTCACACCATTTAATAAATTAAAGTTGCCTCGGTTCACTTCTTCATTTCCTTTAAATGATAATATGCAGACGACAACAATATTATAACTTGATGAAAGCTACATAAAACCTGAACAATGCTTTGAGCTAAAATATCGACTTAAATCTCAATTACGATGTTGAAATGATTCCCGCGCAAAAAAGCAAAAACCATGTAAGCAGACGAAAACGATAATCTAACAAATGAAGCTAGCTCTATGAAATATACTTTGAGCAGATACAGCAATGTTGGTGTAATGTGTGTTTGCATCCTTCAAAATTCTTATCACAATGTTAATTAAATAACAATGTTTTGTCATGATTCTTGCACAATTCATAATCTTTATTTACTTCTCACAAACTCTCGCAAACACTCAATATGGCATAAAATTACTTGATACTTTTTAGTATTGAATATCCATTCCTGTAAAGTAGTTAAACTTCTTTGTTTTTTGTTCTTTGTTTCTCCTATTAAACAAAATGTCCGGTTTATCGTCATATCCGAATAGTAAACAATCTTGTTCAACTAATTTCCTAACTCTAGCTAAGTCGATCAGGGATATAGTCGAGTAGGCTTGTATCATTGCCTCGTCATTCTGTGAGCTTACTCCCCTATCTGACTCCGATAATTCTATAGCATTGTGGATGGTTTTGAAAATGTCTGCTGTTGAAATGTCATTGACATCTGACCTTGAATAAGGCATCGGTATTTGCTTTGAGATGAACCCTATTATCTGATAGTATGTCCATGCACGTAGGTACATATTATATAAGGAAATACCCGATTTTCTGAACACATTCACTGCATGGATAACGTTTTTGATTGGTCCTAATATAGACCATTTTTGTACTTCGGAAATGACGTCATGAGGATTAACGTTCGTGACGTTTTTCAAATTCAGTTCTTCAACAATATAATTCCAGTCCTGCTGAAATGTCTCCAGTTTTCCTATGAAGTCAAAATTAAAATGACATGGACTACACGACCGGTGACTCATAGGCCGTACAAATTCATCCAGTCTTTCCCCACTTTCATATCGTTCAAGCGTACATCTTATGAACTCCGCAAAACTAACATCATGTCCGTACTTTAAACTTCTCTCGGATGGGTTTTTCCGGCATTGCTTTACAATCTTAGTCCCTTTATGTAGCCAGTCTTCTTTCGGCAGATAAAGCTGGTTAGCATAGGTGGAGAACAAGCGCCGGTATGGTTCCCTTACAAAAATAAACGAGAATGCATTGGTCATCTTTTCGAAAGCAGCCTTTGTTTCATTTTTAATATAAATCGAAGATTTGATAAGACATTTGGTGTCGCAGTCAAAAAGTCTCCGTATAACCTCTAGAGTGAAGGTGGACGCACATTTATTTATACGGCAATACAGGAGGGAGTGATTAGGGGTCATATGTGCCCGTATATTTATTTCATCCGTATAGTTTTTGTATCCCATTTTCTGGCAGACGTCCCATATCAGTTCACGCCGTTCTTTGTTTCTCCTCTCGACTGTCACAATGATATCCTAAATAAGTAAACAATTATCCCAAATAAGTAAAAGTTCTCTTAAACTAGTGAAAATTATCCAAAATTATCCAAAATAAGTACATGTACCTAGATATGCAAACAATATCTTAAATACATAATTCCTAAATATGTTAAAATTATCCTAAATTGGTAAGAAAAATCCTAATTAAGTAAAAATTATCCTATATATAAAAATCCAGATGAATTAAAATATACTGTATTAATAAAAGATTAGCCTTAATAAGTGAAAATTATCCAAATAAGTGAAAATTATCCAAAATAATTAAAAATTATCCTAAATAAGTAAAAAATTATCCGAAATAAGTAAAAATTATCCCAATAGAGTAAAAAAATCTGAAAAAAAAAACAGTAAAAATATCCTTAGTTAGTAACAAAAGAATAAACAAAGGTTTTTACCTCGACTGGAGTTGTCCCAGGGTTATCAATAAAACTTGCTTGCCGTGCTTCCCAAAACTGATCTGTAAAATAACAATAATTAACCCATAACATTCATAAATTCTTAGATGGACTTGTCCGGCTTCCAACCGTCCACTAATTTGGGGACATTTAAACCGCTAACAGTATAGGACCTGTTCAGACTGCATGGTGCACGAAGGTACAGGCTGGTCTGGCTCACTTCCAATTCCGGCAGATTTAGTGTCAAAAGTCTACATTATTTTCAAATATGGCTACTTACTTAATTAGCTTTCATTGTATTAACATGAACACTCACACAGACATCTATAAATTGTGTTTATAATCATGAGTGGAGCAAATTAAAACGCCTTCAATTGTGCATATTGTACATAAAAGAATCAATACATAAAAGAATCAATACATAAAAGAATCAATACATAAAAGAATCAATACACAAAAGAGTCAAAACATAACATAATCAATACATAAAGGAGTCATACATGAAAGAGTCAAAACATTTAAGAATCAACACATAAAAAATCAATACAAATAAATATCAATACATATAAGAATTATACATAAAAGAATCATACATAAAAGTATCATACTAGAATAATCAATACATAAATGTGTCAATACATAAAAGAGTCAATACATTTAAGAATTAATACATAAAAAATCAATACATATATACATATACTTATATAATTGTAATAAACAACCTTAGTTTTTAAAGTTAAGTTTAACTTGTTTAACTTAACTTTAGTTAAGTTACTGAATATCGATGGTCTTAAAGTTTAAAAAAAAACATGTCATCAGTTGTGTTGTTATTGGCTAATTATGTCGTTTCCATGTCTGGTGCGCAGACTTGTTATCTCGTTCCCAAGACTTGATTGTTATTTTGTTAAAACAGGATAAAATGATTTCTGTATACCACCGTAAAATTAATAAAATACTATAAATACGATTTAAGCACTTACCGCTCATGAATTTAAGGGCGCATAACTGGTACAAAAACACTAACAATAGAAAATATCGTCGTCTCGTAATTCCACGCCGTTTTCTTTTCATTATCAGAAGACATCTGTGATTATTTCAGAATTTTCTTTAAATCCTATACTGGTCTTAGAACGCCGTCTGATTGTATTTCCGGTCCGACGAAACTGTCGTCTGCTGCAAATCTAAAACTTTTACCACGTCAGCATTCCATTCAATATCGTTTGTTTACACCCTTTTTGATTAAATACGCTGAATTAATAAATACAAAAAAACTTTCTATATATGCGCAAGAAATGCTATATTTACGACAAAATATCTACAAGTTAACATATGTTTCTCTAAGAAAGAATTAGATTTATTATTGAGGAAAAATATGTGACGTCAATATTAAGCACGTAGTAAACACCAAGGAAGGTCATTTGCGAATAAAGGTAAAAAAACTCAGGTACTTTCGGCTTTTCATCACTCCGATAAAAAAATATTTATTAATTCTGTAATTTTCATGTTTCTATTTTTAGATTTAAATATTTTGTCACTGTTTTAGAATAAATAAATACAAATGTAACGAAAATGTCTACACAATTGACACCATAATAGATATAAATTAATTATAGGTACAAAATATACAAAACTAAATTTAAATATAGATTTTTTTCAAAACCCAACACAAGGTCTTTAGTGACATTGGCATGACAGGGATACATTATTTCTTTTACTTATAAACGAAAATACTTTTATGGTCTAAAATGATAAACAAGAGCTAACAGGTCTTGTAATAAGGAATCTAAGCTGGGTTGCCTATTACGTATTACCAGCCATATTTTTCTTGTATAAGACTACGAAAGCAGCAACCGGTACCACTTGGTCATTTCATGCCAAAAGTAGAAAATCTCTAACGGGAAAGGATCAAGCACATTTCGCAAATGGACACAAAGCTGTTGAACGAAAACTAGGGTTCAATTTTGACATGAAAAAGATCAAACAAAAGTTTATTCATACTGAATGCCGCTCTACAACCGACTCAGTTCAAGTCATATGGTAACATTCCAGCTTTACTGGTGAAGGAATACCTCAGACGCCCTTCCACGCATTATTTCAGGCACGAACGGGCATCTGAGTAGAACCAACATCCGTTCCGCGAGCTAGCTGGATAGCTTCCTCACATGAAAGAATCCAAAGTCTCTGTTGGGATTCTGTCGCTTTAAATTCCTCAGTTGAAATACATAAAAAATATCACGATCTATGCTTTTTCGCTTTTGGACCTACCTCATTGTAAATGTAGAAGTTGAATTAACTTTTTCTTCCTCTTAAATTCTTTAAAAATGAAAGCTGAACCAAATCAAAATTGAATAATAATTTTAAAAAATGCAAATTTGCTTAAGACGATTTTAAAAAGAATTAGTGATAAAAAAGTAAACTATTCGGCAATTTTTTTTGTCTGTAAGTTATAGTTGCTCATCGGACCATTTTTTTACCTGAAGATAATATCGAGACCAATAAGCAATTAAGCCTTAAAGACCCATCATGCACTATAATTGCTTTTGTTTCTTTATCTGAAAGGCATTTTATGCTTGGTGTAGTTTTATAGTTTCAAAAACGTTAATCATTGGACAATAATTTTAATAATCTTTTTCCTATTGTTTTTTTCATTTAGTAGGTCCTACAGTTATAGTGAATATATATTTCGTATGGACGTTAAAATTACACTTTGTTTACATTTTGTTACTTTTATGACAAATCATTTCACATTTAGCACTACTTTCTCCAGGTATCAAGCATCCAACATGCTCTAAAACCATCATTTAAACGTTATAAAATTGATGTTTACTTTTTTATAGAAGTAAAAATTTATTTGTTTCTGAGGCATAATGGGCCTTCAAGAGCATGTGTTCTTAAATTACATGGCACATGGATGACAAGTTATGCCTGGCAACAACACTATAAAATTTGTCTTATATTCTTACATCTCTAAATTTGTCACAATGTTTGCAATTAATGAAATATAAATAAAAGCTTTCATAAAGTTGCCAAAATAGTTTTTGTTAAGTTAAAGATATGTTCAAAATTTGAAGTGAGCGTAATTTAACCTTTACCTTACTGGCGACAATAGATTCTACCAATTTGTGTGACGAGTACCTACCAAAACAAGCCGACCGTGTGATCATGGTCTGCACTGTTCGCTAACATACTTAGCGCAGTAAGGGTTGGTCTACTGCTCTAACCCAGGCTATTTACCTTATACATGTATCGGTAAATTATTAAATGTACTGTATACGGAATGTGTGACGATGGTCCGCAATACTTCATACTTCATGTATAATAAATATATCACGCGCAAATCCAGGGAAGTGAGTGGGGGGAGGGGGTAGGGGGTCATGACTAATGTTTCAGATAATTTAATGATGTTGAATTGTATTAATATATACAAATATAATATAAAATTATCAAATTAAATTTGGCTAGTATGCGGAACCCCTCTGAGATTTGAATATCACGTGTGAAAAAGCAGCAACACTTTGACTCATGATCCCTCTGAAAAAAGTTAATTTTACCATTTTACCCCTCCCCCTCTCCGCCCCCTTCTTTGGATATCATTTCCCCATGTCGAAATTTTGCGACCCCCTCTGGTTAAAAAATATTTACATCTATATAGTTTGAAGGTAAATGGTTTGTATTCGCCACCGGTTGCCCATATGGGCGTGTCCTCCAGAAAAGTATTAGTTATTTTAGATTTAGGAGGACAGTGCAAGATACAGAAAGTTATTCCATATTCCAATTCCGGAAGCTTCTCCTGGTTCTTTAGTGTGCAAAGTGTTTAGGCACTCATACATTGGACCTCGATTTAAAGTCTCATTCGAAGGACTTGTCAGTTTAGGTGGCGAGCCCGGGAATCAAATCCCAAAAATATCGCGCTCTTACCGATTGAGCTATGCGGGCTGGTTAGAGGCAAAGAAGGTAAATCAACCATAGACCATACATGCCATAGTTTTGAATGCACGGCCAATCGGCTGCATATCTGTATACTTATAAAGAAACAATATATGTCTATAGAAAACACGCCGTTTGATCTCCGTCTGAATACCATGCTACTTAATGGAAATACGAAAGGTGCGCGTGCTATTGCTTTTCACACGCTGATTAATTCAACATGTTTATTAGAAAATATATCTCTTCAATGGAACCGCACGCCAGCCTTTTGTTCAGTAAGCAAAACTATAATCAGTTATCACGAAAACTTCTTACAAAGCCCATATAAACTACAAATTATATTTTCTAACACATTATGTTTTCTACTTAAAAGAACAGATACGAACAAAACACCGTATGTTGCCATAGTTATGAAAGACGCAGCATTCTTTTGTTCTAAAACATTTAATATAGTTCAATTTACATTTACTTTCTGTCAGTAATCAAATATTTGTAACATATGTCATCAAATTAGAACGGCAGAAGAATATCACTTTTGATTAATACATGTACCACAGAAAAAAGCCAACATGATTTCGAAGAAAAGAAATGTAACATATTTTGTGCAAATAAATTGTTTTACGCTAAGATTATATAAAATAACAAAATTGTTACAGGAGTACCTACTAAAGTTATACACGTTTAGTCGATGGCTCGAAACCTAATAAAATACCTAGAAATGACAGAAAATGTTCCGTTTGTTAAACTCTCGAAGAAAGTACATATGCATGTATGTAAGAAAACAGCAGCAACACCAGAAAACAAATTCAATGTTATTCCCTAACAGGTTCGAAATTATACCACCGAGGGTGTTTTTTTGGGGGATGGGGGTGGGGGGTTGGGGGGGGTTGGGGGTCATGATTACCGCTTGTATGTGGACCACCAAATTTCAGTCAGTTTTAATGTTTGACATAAAATCTGTACACCGCTAACGATAAATGAGCCGCGTCACGACAAAACCAACATAATGGGTTTGCAAAACCTCAATACATGCACTTTAGAAAATCTTTTTCCCGCATAGTTTTTTTTCTCCTAGCAGGCAGTTTAAAATCGGTTTGTTTACAGATGTTAAAGTTTGATAACAAAATGTTACACGGTTAAGCAAATTCTATATTACAACTCAGCATGCTTATATTCGATATATCTAGCTTAGAACGGAAAGACAGAGGGACTAATGGTGCTTAATTGATACATTAACAATTAGCCTGAAGGCACGCGCGATGTGATGTGATGAGAAATTAATATCATTAAAAGTTACCAAACTGTTACATCCCACAAGCGTCTGAATCAATAACATGTAAAAGAAAATTGACAGTATTTTTATTAGGATGTCTGATGTTATATCGCATGTGTAAAAAATATGACTAAGCGGTGGCCTAGTGGTTAGTGCCGTCCGGTTAGCTCAATAGGTATAGCCTTGGACTGTGAATCGGGCGACCCGGGTTCGATTCCTGGACGGTACAGGTCACTTTCGTTGTGATTGGTCATGAAATCTTTTCTATGGTCATTCACACAGTACCTCTGCTCTGGCATGTATAGAAATTATCAGTTCCTCTGAAAGTGAAGGTAACTAGTACTGGTAAACTGCTTGACAGCCTGCCCAGAAACGATGTAGTACATTTTATGTTTATTATACATTTTTCCCTTTTTTGACATTACATTTTGGAAGAAAAAGTAGTCCGACAGACATCAGTGAAAATACGGAATTTATGTTGCACTGCAGTGAGAAATACAAATGTAATTTATTTACATAAAAATACGGAAAAAGTAATTTATACGCATTTTATTTCAACAATATTTCTCAAGTACCTATACTTTGGAAAAGGGAAGTAATCACGTAAACACTCAAAAAAATTATTTGTAACAGTTTTTTCCCCTGGTTTACAGTGCTTGAAGTAACATTTATTTTAAAAACATTTTTTATTTCTTTTTTTTCACAAAATAATTATGGAACGATTACAGACTGATTCAATTTCATAAAAGACTTGCTTCTCGTTTCCATCTAGAAATAACTTTCTGAAAAACGCGGATTAGTGTATCGTAGATTTGTCAAAATTCTGATTCAATGTGTTTGTCTGTAAAATATTGGTACCTATCGTTTCAATAGCCGTTAATAGGGATTAGAACCAGTATGATGAGGAACATGCCAGCCTATTCTACTTAAATGTGCAAAGAGACCAAATATTATTCTCAATGTTTAATCAAACAGTCAGAAAAACTTACAGTATTTAAGTCCGACAAACGCTAATGTACTAATTACTATGTGAATGACTTCCAAGGCGTGTGTCCTCGGCGAGTACATAATGTACACATTTTAATGAATTATTTTCATGGTGGTGAACAATATTCAAGAATTATTTTGTATTTTATTGCTAAAATGCCTGATTATAATAGTAAAGTAAGTGTTACATTATAAAATTGATTGAATCTTTATCAAAATTTGATTATGGAAAGAGATATTTTCAACAAGAAAATATTTATAAGAAATCATGCCATTTGATCAATTTGTACAAAAAAGGGGTTTGTGGTGACTTAAATAAATACTTCAAACAGTTTTGTAACCATAATTTATGTTGTTACCAAGATACTTTCAGGGAAAATTAACTTAAACCTTGTTAACATCCATATACATGTATACTAAATATTGTCATTTATCTATTTACATATACATGTATAACACAAGAATATAACTGTCATCTCTGACGTTGATCAATATTTGTAATATGTTGTTTTTTATATACAATCTGACATCTTCAAAACCTTATAACAAATGTTCCTCTTAATCAATAAAGATGTTAAAGGCACATTATGTCTCAGAAATGCTATCATTTTGATTTCCCAAAAACAGCTTTGTTTTTGGTATCTTTAATTTAAAAAAGAAATACTCATTTGCCATGTACATAAACTATCTTTTGCGAACTTTGTTATGTTGGCAATTGGTCATGGTTGGTTACCCATGGTATATATTCCGTACATACTACATAGATAATAGATGATGTAGAATGTACGGAATATATACCATGGGTAACCGACAAATACAATTGGTATAATTATAGTGAATTAAGGACGTTTTCGGGAGTTTTCATATAGACATATAGGCAAAATTAAAACTGTTCAATAGAATTCCTTTACATTTGTCATGTTAGAATATGATAACAGAAACATTTAAAGCGAAAAAAGTTGGGGTCACCGGTCTTGTTTTTTTTAATCAGAACTTTCTACTTAATTGAGGTCATTTCAAGGGCAGATAACTTATACATACTTAAATGAATTCTTGTTTTTACTTCTGAATTATGTTTTTCTTTTTATTGTTGATTACTAGACATAATAACATGCAATTCCTTATATCATTTCTGTTATTTTTTTTCAATGAAAATAAAGATACTTTAAATTCTTAAAAAATAAGCCATTTTTTAAGAAAAAAAATGCACAGGTTAAAAGAAGAAGTGGAAAAAAAACTATCCACTCTAAATTCCTTCTTGAAATTTTGCATATCAACTAAAATTTAGGTAAGCCTCATGAAATTAAGAAAAAAAATGTATTGTTTCCTTTCAGTGTAAATTATCTGCCCTTGAATTTAACGAAAAAGTCCAATTCAAGGGCAGATAACTCGAAAATGAGAACGGTGACCCCATTTTTTTTTCGTTTACAATGTTTCTGTTATCATATTCTAACAACATGCCAAGTTTAAAGAAATTCTATTGAACAGTTTTAATTTTGCCTATATGTCTATATAAAAACTCCCGAAAACGTCCTTAATATTTTGTATGGAAGTCAAAATACTACATTGTTTACATTTTGCTACCTTTACGACACATGACTACATGTTCGGCGCTATTTCTTCAGTAGATAAACATCTTACATGCTCTAAATCCATTATCAAAATATTATTAAACACAGGATTTCTAAGGCATAATGTGCCTTTAAAATGTCAGTTTTCTTATAAAGTAGTTTAACTGTATCTTATAGAGAATAAAAGCAATGTTTTGTTTCAATTTGTGCGTTTACAATGGTATTGTGTATCAATTGCATAATGTAATTGATACTTTTCCGGCTTTACGGGTGATGGAGAATCCAAGATGCTCAGGGGCCCTGTTCCCCACCTCCTCACCCCTCTCACACACACATATATACCTTGGTATAATAAGGGTTCAACATAGCACCTGGGTAGATTCAATCGACCGCCCGTCAATAAACTGGATAACTTTCACCACACGTAAAATAAATCACAGTCCCCTGTGGAATTTGAGTGTGCACCAACACACAGGGACAAGTATCCGCCATCTATGATATAAAACACATTCGACCTCGCATGCTTCAGGGATATAATGATTAAATGATTAAATTTAGCTATTTTTACCAGGAATAAACACATGAACCAGGCATGTTTTAATATATTCACTTTATTTTTGAACCTTAAAAGTACAACAATTCCGTAACAGATGCCATTAAATTACATGTACATTAACCATATTTAATGTAAAGGTTAGTAACATATGATCATTAAAATGGCAGATCTTTTAAGAAGTATAAAATTGTTTACAGTTAACAGACGAAATAAAACAGCGTCTGGTCAGTCGGTGAACTTTTTTGAGAATTGTTGTCCATATCTTATCTGTCTTTACTTATTTATGATGTAGAAGTAGACTTTTAACTAGATCATTTTCGGTCATTTATCAGGAGTTTTTCCCCCGGCATTTATCTCTTTACTGTTAATCTTACATCAGTTAATTGCCGACCACAAAGGTAAGTTATCCTGAAATAAAGTTTAAGGTCCAAAAAGCCTTAAAAAAATAAAACTTGAAAGTATTTTATGGATCAGCTGGGACACTTAAAATAAAATGGTATGCAAAAATGTATTGAGTCATACCCACTCCCCCCCCTAAGAAAGTAAATGAATAAAAGAAAATAAAAAAAGGAAAAAGAATGAAAATCGTATTTTTGAGCTATTCTCAGCTCTCAGACCGATTTAAGTTATTTTTGGTCATTTTTCACAATTAGAATAATTATTCTCAAAGAACGGAGTGAGCTAATGAACACAAGTTATTTGTCTAGATCTGCATCAACTAGAACATTTTAATCTCAAAAATCCAGTCCCGTCATGTCTTTTAACCTCAGTTAAGTCCCTTTAATGCACCATTAATGAGTTTTTTTGTTTGTTTGTTGTTTTTCTTTTTAGTCGTCCGCCAATCAAATGTTAGTTGTCCGGTTGAAGAAGGAATCCATTGAAATGTGTGTGGAAGCAACATCCGGCAAGAGTAGCGGAATTTCGTAGCTGGCCAACCTTGACGTAGACTTTGTCACCCGGATGTAAATGTACAACAACGCTAGCAGAACGCCCTGACCAACGATCGTTATTATCGTCCATCCAAACGTATCCAACCTGCTCCGTGTTCCTCATCATAAACAGGTGAAGCTGTAAATACATATGCATACGCCGGTGATTAACATCTGCGTTTGTTTTATCTTTACAGGACGAATACGTGCTTTTGTTTTATTATATTATTATATTGACAGGTTATATGGTCCTATATAAACAGTTGTTTGTTTATATAAACCGGGCAGCTAGTCGAGGGTTATATTGTATATGTTGTGTCAAGAATCTTTATAAAGAATTTATAACTCAATAGACTTTCTTTTTTAGAGAAAAAAAAGAGATTTCTTCAAAAAATTACACCAGTCGTGTATATAAAACTATATAAACATCACGGTTGTCCAATGAAAAGCGACGTTACAAACGTGCAGCATTATACGATAATTTATAATACTGCTCCCTCGTATGAATGAGTTCAGTCTCTGACGGGATTCGAACCCAAATCAGTAGAGGGCAAAATGGTTTGTAGTTAACAATCACGGAAGCTAAAGTAAATAATTTGAATCAGGGTTTTTACTCCGGTCAATTGCTCATGATATTGCTGATATTGAAATTCATTTCTAAATGTACACATGTACACACATTTGCTAGTTCACATATAATTCTTTTTCACATATTCATGAAGCAAAATTTTTATACTGTTTCAACCGATGAGCTACAATGCATTTGACAAAATTATTATATTATAAAAATACTGACCCAGTTTCCGACTGCCTTTTTTGGAGACGCGGCAAATAGGTGGAAATTGTAAGTGCCTGCCACCTTGGCAACGAATATTCCACTTTCAGGATCATAATCTTCGCCAATATTTGTTACAGCCGTGTCAAATTTAACTTCGGTGCCTGTTGGCGGATTGACCATACTGGTCGACAACTCTGCCATAAAAGCCACTGACTTCCTCTCTGGAACATAATAAATAAGATATTGGTATATAGACAGTGTTCATCGAACTTCAAAAAAGTATACAAAAAATTTAAAAAAAAACAACAAAAAAACAAACAAAAAAAAAAAACAACAATAATCGTGTGTGTATGTATATATAAGTTCCTTGAAAATTACCTGAAATTATATAGAAAATACATCGAAATCTTAGCAAACATAAACAACAACAAAAACACTTACATTATCTACAGTTTAAATACAATAAATTAGTTTAACGATTAGTTTCGATATATATATAAAGTAATTACCTTGGTTATGCTTCACATCTTTCTGTAATTTTTCAAGTTTTGTTTCAAGGTCCACCAGTTGTCTAACAACTTTGTAATCATAGTCGTACCTGGACAAACATTGTCCGGGTTCGATATCCAAGCCGCCCTCAGCACGGTTCAAAAATGCTAAAGCCACACTAATAACAAGTAAAACTAGCATGATTTTTTTCGAATGTTGGCACAAATTTCTATTAAGAAATATTTGAACTTGACTGCTGATGTTCTTGGCTATTTATACCAAAATATCGTTATTAGATTAGAAGGCATGGAGCCATATAACTTACAGGCCAATTATACCTAAGAACACTAGATCATTTCTATCTGTTTGTAACATAAATGAACTATCTTTTGCTTTCTTTACTCTGTTGGCTATTGGTCTGATTATAGTAAATTAGTATTTTGTATAGAAGTCAAAATACAAGTACTACTTTGTTTACATTTTGCTACCTGACACATTACTTCACATTCAGCGTTACTTTCTTCAGTCGTTAAACATCTTACATGCATTAAATCTATCATTAAAACATTATTTAACACTTGTAAACATTTCTTAGCAAACAAAAAATATGGATTTCTTAGGCAGAATGTGCCTTTAACTATTTTTTTTCCCAAAACAAATGGCTTTACGGTAACAGAATTTTTGAAATATAATATCTGGTCCGCGATTTTTGCTTTTGGGTATTTTCCGTTCGCAAATTAACTTCAGCATTTTTGAAGGTTTGATAACTTTTATATATTTTTTCTGTATAGTGAGTTTGAAAATAATGACATAATTTGAGGCGCATAGCAAAATACAAAAACAAAACAACAACAACAAAAAAAAACAGACATAACTTCTTCATAATAACTATATACGCTAGATCTTTTAAATCCCCATTATGACCCAGAAACAAATAGTTTATAAAAGATAAAAACAACAACAGGAACAACAGGAAAAACAACAACAACATGGCGTGACCATCAAAACATCGTGACCTTGAGTCATGAGTGTACATGTACTGTAGGCGATTTAATGTTCATAACTTAACTGTAATTGAATAAGACGCCAAGGAGCAAATTAATTTAACTTGTATTGTTTTGTTCTGTTCAACATGAACGGAAAGAACTTTTGTATTTAGAAACAATGGCATGTTTCATTCAGAGGTCTTGACCCACTTTACAGAAACAACTTCAGCAAATTCAGCAAAAAGTGCTTTTCATTAAATTTGATTAAAAATTGATAAAATGATTTTAGGTACATTTTATGCATCATCAGTGAAAGGTTAAAGGAATATTATGCACGCCAAAGGGTATATAGTGAGTGAACAGGTAAAGGTCAAAATAAGTTTTCATTTTGCAATATTTCTTTTCAATTTATAATTTACCTGGCATGAACGATAAATAACTCGCGTGACCAAAGGAAATTTCTGTGAATGTCAATCAGAATGTATCTATAAAATTCAATTTATAAAAAGAGTGGGGACAGTCTTTTTATATTTTAGGCATATTTATATTTTATCTTAAGCATTTACCAATATCAACTGTTGGTCAGTCACCATTAAAACAGTCAATCTTTTGAAATAAAAAGTCAATTCAGCTAAACCTAATAAAATGAAATAAATTCCCGAATATTTAGGTCTTTTAGTGATTGAAGGGCGGATGGACCCTTATTATGCATGGAATATACACGCGGGATGCATTAGCAAGACAAATTATCATGTTTTTTTTTACCAAATATATTTTTTTCTCTCAATCGTCAAAGATATGTTACTTTATTATCTAAACGTTACAATATATAATCTATCTAATAACAAAACAAAACTTAAACTAAATATGATACATATCTGAAAGTTTGAAATACAATTTTACATGGTTTGTCATGGCAACAGCAGTTTATATATATTTTCATTCAGTGACGAACAAAAATCACGTAAAGATGATATGAACATTGATTTTTGTCTGCTTTAAGTTTCTTTTCTTTTAAAGCAGCACGCCTCCAGATTCATGATATTTTCTTGACGATTTTGAAAATGTATTTAAAAACATAATATTGTGAAGTAACCAGAAGGAAAAAATTAACACATTATCAAAGACACTTGAAACACACGTAAATTACCAAAAAAGAGGTTACAATATGCAAAAAAAAACTCTTAGTACGTTAGTAACGCAGTAGAAATATTGTTACAAAAACTGAAAAATCAGTCATTAACCACACAAAACATGTAAATTATAACTTGAATCTTGAATCTTTTTACTTTTTTTCTAAAATATCAGTACCGTTTTCTAAAGTTTGATTTTATTGACACACTTTGGCTCATCTGGAGGCATGCTGCTTTCAAAGAAATAATGAAAAATCTTATGATATATTCACCTTTATCTCGTGCAAATCGATTTCAAAATACTGTATATTACTAATCGGTGAGATATGATTTATTTACCTCATTACATGTATCTAATTCACTGTGAAATAAAAAAAAATAAAACACGAAATTGTGATTCACCAATCACATTAAAAATATGAGTTAAATCTTTTAATTGATCTATTCAAACTGTTCAAAAGTCAACAAAGGGAAATTCCATAAAAGATATATAATGTTATAATTGTTTTATTGGCATCATACATGTATATTAAATGACACAGAATTCAAATTTCATATATGAATAGGGAATGGATATCAGTTTGAGTTGACAAAAAAAAAAATATGAGTTGACAAAAACTGAAAATTCACTCTTACATCTTCTGAGTGTTTCTGTTCATAGATTATCATGATCCGAATAAGATATACATATGTTTCGTGTTTATTTAAGGTACAGAACAACATATGTAGAGCAACTACCCTTTGGAAGACAAATATTGTGGTTGTTTTATAGAGGTTAGAATTATTGAAAGGCTTACTTTTGGGAGAGTTGATAATATTGTTGTAAAGAGGTTATTCCTCTGCAAAGGTTGCACTGTAAACTAAATTCACCTTTCTATCAGCTACACTAACAACTGTGACAGAATACTGCTGAATAACAAAAAAGCCAACATAACGCTATAACTCGTTTATGGCTATCTCAAAGCTTGTCTATGTCGTACATAAATGGTCATAAGCGAAATTAGCGTTACAAGCAATGTTCAATATATAATTTGGATCACCCACACGGACACACACGCACACGTACACACGCACACATATGTACACGTATACATAGACACTTATTCAAAGAATTTAACACATAGTTATCATACGTACTGCTCAACATATTGTGAAGAATTATTTACAGCTCACAGAATCTTTTAGAAGACAGCTTGCCTAGTAGACTGAAAGCGCTCAATGAAAATTTGACACGTGACGTAGTAATGGCTGCGTTGATTATAAAGCTAAGTTCAACGACACAACGAACTAAAGGTAAACTAAATGTAGTGCAATTTGAAATAGGTACTCAAAAATTAATATAAAATTTACGTATTTTAAGACCAGCACAAGTTGCCTTCCACTCTTACCTCATGTATAGGCAGCAACCTATCTCTGCATATATATGTATATACATGTATAATTTACTCCACTATTTACAGTATCAAAATTGTGTATGCTATAAATGTACAATGTACATGTGTTATAATATTGCTCTATATTTGAAAACGATTGTAATGTCACGTGACGTAGACCATTAACAATATTTATAATTTTTCTATTATTGCACTACACCCTTTTAAATCATTGACAAATCTTCAGTTTTTAAGCGATGCTTATTAGATAAGATCCTTATCATTTAAAAAATTGAGATAACAATGTCTTTTCACCAACTATTTATATTTTAATGGGAAGTAAAAAAAAATCTGTTACAGTTTTTAATGACGTGTAAAATATTTCACACGAAAACAAACAACAAAACCCCGATCTTTCAGACAATAATATTAGACAAAATTTTGCCCAACAAGCAGTTAGGCAAAAATATGAAACAAAATTTTGGCTTACGAGTTTTTAGGCAAAAAATATAAAAACAAGTTTTGCCTAACGAGTTTTTAGGCAAAAATATAAAACAAATACTAGCAAACTGCTTCGTTGTATTTAAACATAACTGTAATATGCATGCTTATTTTTCCGTGCTGCACACTATTTGGTGACTTTATTTATTAAATTTGTAATAAAAAATAGTCCCGAAAGTCATTCCCAATAGATTCTTCTAATTTCATCTACGTATGACCCACTATATATAAGAAATAATCGCTCAAAATTTATGCGTATAAAATTTAAATCTTAATCGATCAGAAATTAAATCAAATGTCGGAAGATTCTATATTTAAACAGTTTAATTATAGTAAAATACTATTCGTGAACAACGACTTATGTTTTGATGCCATTTGGTCAATTCCTACGCATCAAAACTTCAAACCCGTGTTAAATATGAATTGCCTCCAAAGTGATAAATAAATTTATACTTTTCAAAAGAAAGAAAAATAATGATAAAGAAATAAATAAGTAATTATATATATATGAGTACAATATTCTCACCATGATCATTTCTACCATGTTACCGAGCATGAGCTTTGTCTGCATATCTAGGCATGCTTTAGGTAAATTCTATGGATAGTCGGTCCTTAGGGCTAGTTAACCCCTTCATTTGTACACATCTTAAACATTATTACATTGAAAAGTTGTTCAATTTTCAAAGAAATACACCATTATAACGATTAATCTGGAGGCATGCTGCTTTCAAAAATGCAAATATATTTTATTCTAAATGGAACGAAAGGTCTAGTCAATTTTAAAGAGAACCTAAATTTGATCCGGTACATCCCCAGTGTGTATATTTTCTCGTAACCAGTCCGGGACAGGATATCCAAACATTATGAAGTCATATTTCATTACATTCCATATCTTCTGCATCAACCAGCCGGGTAACGGTTTATATACCTCCTCAACCATGGTATGGGTTCTTCTCACAGAGTAATTGTCATTTCGTCCCGGAAACTCAGCATCTATATTTAGACTTTTAAAAATATAGTCCATATCTCTATTGATATGTTCATATTTCCCGATATAATCATATTTTACCGCGCAGGGATTACACAACACGTGAGTTGGTACAAAATGCTCATTTACATACAAGTTTTCATCATACAAATCAGACCACCAGACCAGAAATTCTTCGAAAAATACCGATCTACTTTCATAATCGATTTTCATTTTATGAAGTTGGTCCAGTTCAGGATGGCTTCCGTAGAAAAGAGAAACTCTTTTATTGAATTCTTGTCTGTTAACAGGATTTGGATGTAGGAATTTACTCATGTAACCAGACAGAAGTCGTTCTATTGGATCTCTTGTGGCAAAGAACTTTGTATATGTTGACATAATTTCTTTTTGCTTTTCCTCATCGAAGTCTTTAATATACTTAAACTCTTTGTCATGAATGTTATAAACTTCGTATCCACCTATCGTCGGAACTTCAGATTTAGGTATAATTCCCATCATGCCTAGGATAGTTCTCCTAAAGTTTGTACTCGCAACTTTCGGTAGGTAGCACCAGACTGATTTCGTCTTCTCAATGACCATTAAGTGTTTCCAATATTCGTTTTCAAATGATTGGGCGTTAGGCAAGGTGATGTTTTGTTCCTTCATCTCTCTGCATATTTTATCTACTCTTTCTGTACGGGCTTTCATCTCCTCTGCTAAAGCCTGAAATAAATATACTTCTTATTAAATTGGGCCTTCGTGACCGAGTTGTTAAGGTCACTCACTTAATTAAAACTACTTGGCCTTCACACCTGTGGGTTCGAATTTTGATTTCTTTTATGTGAGAAAGCAATCCAGGTCGCTTACGGAAGATCGATGACTAGACCCAGGAATCCGCTGTGCCTGAAATATTGCACTAAGGGGTACCTGAAGTCTACGTCATCCAGTGAATGTTTGAATATCGCCATATGACCTTTGATGTGTCTGTGTGAATTAAAATCCAACAAACACACGTATAATGGTCATATAATGAATATTAACATTTTATAATCTAAGTGCATAATATAATTCAAGAATAAGTAAGAGTTTCCTCGTGTAAGAAATAGTACAGCGGTAAGCCTGTGAATTTTATTTTAATTAGGGAGATTCCAGATTACCCTGATGATAGAAAGGCAGTGCAAACATTACAAAGTGCTGGATAAGTAAAGTGATATTTTGCATTTGCCAGTGCTTGTTTTGAAATGAGTTTGTTGACATAAAGAAAAAACCCTTCATTTAACCCTTTACCCCATATATATGCAAAACAACGCACTTTCGACCCCCCCCCCCCCTCTTTTAGGCATCAAATAGTGAAAAAATGTCCTGTTTGGGCCCCAAACACATGTTTTCGTTTGAGAAATGTTGCTAAAAAAAGTGAGCACTTTTTCGGCGCCGCCCCCCATCCAAAAGATACATCAGGGGGTTGCCAGAAGGGGGATGTGCCCCCTTCTGTTTTGGGTGGGGGTGAAGGGGGGTAGTCCCCCTCATCGCCAAGAAAAAATTGGACTTGTGATAGGCTTAAAATGACCCCAGGTCGATCATAAGGTAACGTGTAACCAACGCTGAAAAGCCTTTGACTCTATCTCAATTCCTTGAGAAGTTGCAGCACTTTGAAATAAATTTTGATGGAAAAAATCAAGGCAAAATAGCGATTTTTTGGCAATTTTGAGATGTCCCCTCGTTGCCATGGTAACAGAAAATTTAAGACTGAGCATGTCGTTACAAAGGCAATGGTCCAGTCAACATTTGTGCCAAGTTTGATTAGTATTGAAGCATTTTTCATAGTTTCATAGCAGTTTGAACTTGTAACAGGAGGCTTTTCAATGAAAACGGCCATTTTTCACAATATACTCATGAGAGAAAGGGTTAAGTAAAAAAATTAAAAATGTTACAAAACAACAATTTTTCACCAAAATTAGGTGAAGGACCACATGTTAACATAGAAAAACTAGATTTTGGGTAATTCCAAAGTTTTTCATCATTTTTTGTTAACCCTTTACCTCATATACGCGAAACAACGCACTTTCGACCCCTCCCCTCTGTTAGGCCTCAAATAGTGAAAAAATGTCCTGTTTGGGCCCCAAACACATGTTTTCGTTTGAGAAATGTTGCTAAAAAAAAGTGAGCACTTTTTCGGGGCCGCCCCCCCCCCATCCAAAAGATACATCAGGGGGTTGCCAGAAGGGGGCTGTGTCCCCATCTGTTTGGGGGGGGGGTTGAAGGGGGACGGTAGTCCCCCTCATCGCCAAGAAAATTTTGGACTTGTGAGAGGCTAAAAAAGACCCCAGGTCGATCATAAAGTAACGTGTAACCAACGCTGAAAAGCCTTTGACTCTATCTCAATCCCTTAAGAAGTTGCAGCGCTTTGAAATAAATTTTGATGGAAAAAAATCAAGGCAAAATAGCGATTTTTGGCAATTTTGAGATGTACCCTCGTTGCCATGGTAACAGGAAATTTAAGACTGAGCATGTCGTTACAAAGACAATGGTCCAGTCAACATTTGTGCAAAGTTTGATTAGTATTGAAGCATTTTTCATAGTTTCATAGCAGTTTGAACTTGTAACAGGAGGGTTTTCAATGAAAACGGCCATTTTTCACAATATGCTCATGAGGGAAAGGGTTAAACAATAACCATGATTGAAATGGGTCACGGATTTGAAGACTATTCCTGTGAATTATAGTTGCTATGATGCAATGTAAAGACTCCGATATATAAATTTAAGGGTTCTCTTAGCAGTGATACTAAAAAATGAAAGGTAACCATGCAGTTGATAAGATGTGAGCATCTTTGTAAATATTAAACAGTGAAATATATAGCTTGATTTATTGTTAAAGATATAAACATTTTATTTCGACTGTTTGATGTATGAAAACTGTATCAACTGTTTGATGTACGAAAATTGTTTTCGGTATACCTTTTCCTCTTCGGTCGGTGGTTGAGTAGTTTTAACTTGAGCTGCTTCGCTTTCAACGGATCTTTTTATCATCAAGAAAGGGTCGCCCCCACTAAGGATAGATGTATCATTGTTCTTAACATCTGAAAATTTAAAACATGAAGAAGAACTTTTATTTGTACTAAAGCCATAAAAAGAGCCGTTGACAAAGCATCAATATATATACAAATGTACATACAAAAATAGAAACATGGCAATACGTGACATGAAGTCGAGATTGCATGTGTATTCACGGGAAATAATTCTTTGGTAAATGGGAAAATAACTCATACACTTTAAGCTGATTCACTGTAGGTGTCTTATAAAATTAGCAAACCAAAAAGCTTCAAGGAAAAAGATTAAACGAAAAGTGGTTTCACATGACATCTCGCTTGGGAGAGGCAGAATAATGTTAATATTACAATAAGACAAAACATATTAATTTCTATATAGTAATATGGTTAAGTAGGTTGAATGCGCCTAGATAATATGTTGATATCATTTACGGATTTTGCTCTTTCTTGGAAAGGGGCGCTATCAAATGATACATAGTTCTTTCAAAAGTTAAGGTCTTTAAAACCACATGTGAAACATTTGATAGTATCACCTACTTCTCGATTGTTCAGGTTAGTTAACTAATATTTACCTATTACATAAATAAAGTAACATGAATAAATAAATTAAGAAGAGAGGCAATGTGAATTCAATATTTTTACTAAATAAATACATCTATCAAAAGAAATGTCCTTTTTAAGAACAATTCATTTATCCTTGGATACCGTAGACTTCTATCCAAAGTTTTTCAGTGGACATAAACCTGCGAAATGAACATTTTGGCTAACCCTTAAAAATTTTAATGTCATACACTGTACATTGGAATATTTAGACGTTTTATCGCTTTATATAAAAATAACATGAAATTGAAATATGATCGTATGAAACTTTTGAGTTTAATTTGTAATCTATAAGATAATCTCTTCAGTATATCTGACGAAAACAATTTAACAGAAGCACGATCAATTTCCATGAATGTAAATATTATAAACCTAGCAATGTTGTTTAAAACCATAAATTCCAATCTGTTTGTTGATTAGAAAACATGTTGTTTTCATTAACAAAAAATTTAATTGATTCTAACTGAGGTTAAATTAGGTGAACGTCGTACACAATTTTTGATATATAGTGATGTTTGATTTTTGTTTGTTTGTTTCATTTTACGCCTTTTCCCAACAGTATTTCAGTCATATAGGCGGTTAGTTTCCCAACCATCGTTCCTGGAGAGTTACACCAGTACTAGACTACCTTCCTCCGCGCTAAACTACCAAAGCATCCCCTGGGGATCGAACTCACACCAGAAAGGTAACTGGATTAGAAGTCATCGACTCTAACCCCTCGACCACAGAGGCGGTCCCAGTGTTGTTTGAAACAAACAAGCTACATGTACAAGTTCTTATAAAACCGTTCCTATACAGTTGTAAAGAGTCACGTGGCATTTAAATTCTCCTAAGGTGATATATTTTAAATGAACGCGTTCAAAACTTAAAGCAGGTTTAGACGAGATAACCATTTTAAACGACATAATTATGTACTCACTTAAATACAAATTTTCAAAGAAAAAAATAAAGAAGTGGGCTTCAGACTGGCTGAATGTTATACTAGTATATCATTTGTCAGAAATTATAAAAGAAAAACATATAAACTGCTCTAATCCAAAGTCAAACAATTTGGGTTTAATTTAACTTATTCATTTGATAAAAATGATCATAGACAATAGTATACTTACATAAAGATCCAAACGCAAGGCTACAAAGTCCAACAATAGCTAAAAACCTCGACCATCTGCTAAACCTTCTTCGAAACATACTTTTACTAATATATGATATCCTTAATTTTCTAGATTTACTGAGAAATAAATGCTATTTCTTTTTTATTAAATAAGTTCTTATACACACACTCGGTGATCTGTTCTAAAGTGTGGGAGCGACAAGTAAAAAAGGAAACAATTTTCCGTCGACAGATGTTTTAAGACGTGTAACTTTCAATACCTCTATGGTGCAATTGACAAGAATCGACCTGCCTTCTTCTTGCCTTTTGTTACCGTTACGATATTTCTATAATGAATTCTACAAAATATTTCGTTTATATTTCTTGACGACATATTGTAACAAAAAAGATGCTTTGACAAAATCTTGGATTTTAAAAAAAAGAAGACACTTCGCGCGACAATGATGCTAAAGGTATTGCGATATTGTGAAGCTGTCAATATATGGATTTACTACTTCTTATACAATTGATTTCAACAAAGCAGAATTGTATAAGACAATTTAGATTTGAAGTTTCATTACAATTTGAGACATCTTCTTAAGTTGCTTTTTTTCATATATATAAACATTCAACAATTTGACATAATCTTATAGCATATCTTCTCATTTGTGAAAAGGAATGGCGAATACATGTGTGAATTTAATGATTTAAGAACCATATGTGGAAAAAGTGTATATTGATCTGAATATCAAGGACAGACATTTCATTAAATTGTCATACATCGGAATGGAATGAAGTAAACATGTTACATATATTCCAGTTAAAGAAAAATTTCATGTTCAAGTAATGAGGTGATTTAGCAAGACACCGTTCTGACATCAATAAAATTAACAACTAAAATCTGGCTGAACTTGCTGGCTTTGAAAAAAAATAAAATTGATTTCAGTCGATTAAACAGCTGCAACAGTTAGCTAGAACAGAATTCTGTTCTCACTGAAGCGTCGACAGAAGTTTGCTCTTTGCACACCTATGAAATGCCTCTCGACTCTTGCATATTTTTGTACATCTATTTAATGGTTTTATGCATATGGTTTTTAGTACGATCTGCAAGAAAAACTGTCTAAGTAAAATGTGTTGTTTTTACAATCTGCATAAATGCGTGTCTGCCAAAACCAAAAATGTGTCAATTTGTTTATTAACAATGCTTGCACATGCCAGTCTTTAAAATCTATATGCGGTAAAGAAACTTTTAAAAGGAAATGAAAAGCGCCCAATCAAAAAGTCATGGCAACAGGCTATCAAAATGGTTGAAAATTGATTTCCTGGTAAGGACGTCTAGGAGAAATGTTAATTTTGCACTACTAATATTTCTTATAGTCTACATTTTATTGTCTCAACTCACCAGAAAAGTTTTTGTAACAACCGTTCATCAGCCGGGTACCGAAGCTGTTGATGTAAAATCTATTACACTTAAACCAGGGCTAAAAGAGATGATCAATTCAACAGAAAAGAACGTTCCGTCCATGTTTAATATAGGATACCTCCTCCAGAACAAGCATCTCTGTTCTTCATCTGAAATAGTCGATGCTGCAGTGATGGTCTACACTGCGACAGCAAATTTTGAAAGACGCAAAATAATGCGAGAGACGTGGTTAAATAAAACGCTTTTATCAAATCTAGGAACAACAAAGTTTATCTTCCTTTTGGGAACAGCAAATGAACAAGAGTTGCAATCTGAAATTGATAAAGAATTCAAACAGTATGGGGATATACTACAAGGTGATTTCTTAGACACCTATGCCAACCTTACATTAAAAGGAATAATGGGGCTCAAATGGTTATCAGAAAACTGTAAAAATGCTAAAATCCTGATCAAAGCTGACGATGATATTGTTATCAACGTTTTCAGATTTTATGAAGAAGTTGTCCCAGAAATGAAGCTGCATGATCGGCAAGTCTTCTGTTGGAGAAGTGCAAGAAGTATCATATTCCGCGGAGTAAGACATAAATCATACTTGCCAAAGAACTATTTTTATGGTCAACATTCATACCCATTATACTGTAAGGGACCATTCGTGTTTATGTCATTTGACCTTGTTCCACTAATTCTGAAGTCGGCATCAATTACTCCATTCCTTTGGTTAGAAGATGTCTACCTATATGGATTGGTCATGCAAAACATACCTGGTATAAGTTACAAACAATATAGGAAAGGGTATGACTTTCATTTAGACATAGCAAATGTAATGGAATGTTTTAACAGGACAGCATGTGAGATGTTTGTAGCAGGGGTCTCCCATGAAGGAGAAATGTTACCTATTTGGACTTCTATGTTAAAACAGAGCCACCGAATATGATCTAATATTATTGCTTATAAAATGTTGTCTAAGAAGCAAATAATATCTTTAATTGTTTAAAATGAATTATCTTATCACGTTTACAAGTGAAATCTGTAGATGTCTTTATTGTTTGATGAAGATTATTATGTTTGAATGTACATTTTAAAGAAAAAAATACTGAATGACTTTAATGAAGTGAATTCAAGCATAGATTAATTAATTGGTTAATTGTTTGGTTGACAATTAGTTAGTTGGTTGTTGTTTTTTTGTGAATTTGATTTGTTGGTTTGTTGCTTGATTGATTGATTGATTGATTGGCTGATTAAATGAAGAGGTGACAATTGTAAAAGTTATCTTAACAATTCTAGAAAATGACTGTTGCTTGCTTGATTTCCTTGTATTGCTACCTTGCTTGCACCATTACTTTATTTCTTCTTTATAATTTATTTCTGTTTATGTTATGTTGTTAAATGTAAGTTTCTTTGGTTCAACCTTTGTCATGTATTGTTTAAAACTGTATGACATTTAATCATTAAAATAACCGAGGTTAGGACATAAAAATGTTCCAATTTTCATTATCTCTTTTGGACAGACTTATTTCAACTGGGTCTTCTTTTTTAGTTGTATTCGTTCCCCGCCCCCATTTCTTTGATTTCGAAGGATCTTCTCTATCCATTTGATTACTATCAAATGTTACTTATTTGCCCTCCTGAATCATCTTCAAAAAGGGTGCTTTTTAAACTGTAAATTGATAGATTAAATTAACGTTCATTTATCAAAACCATTGTTCAATGTATTGTTTTTGTTGTTGCTTTTTATAGTATATCATTTTAATTATACAATATATTGATAAAGTATATACTGAATATCACTTTAATAGTATGAAAATATGAAGCAAAAATTTTGTTTTTGTTTCAAATGACATTTATTCCTTCCAGCTTGTTGCATCAAATTGACAACATTGGCAACTTGATTGTATTTATCTATGCATGTTTTTAATTGTGAATAATTTAGTAAAAATAGCATTGTTGGTTTCCAGCGAGGTTGGAATGTATTTAAATACAAGACTAATTAATTGTTGTCGAGTTATTTTCTCTTTTATGGATTTAAGTAATTATTCAGCAAAGCTCTAGTACAACAATGGATTATCTATCAGCAATATTATTTCTTTAACAAGTGGCCATTGCAAATATAAAGAATTACTTTCAAGCAAAGCACAACTAAAACATATAACATAAAACGTTTGCTTTTTGTATTTGTAACTGTCCGTTGGGTTGATATCCATTAAATATGGCAATTTTCATTTTGAATAAAAACGAAAAAACTGCCAGTGTCGATGTCTACCAAAGCTGTCTAGCCGTAGATCTTTGATGAAAAAAACATAAAAAGTAACGTTTTTTATTCGTTCCCTATGAATACTGGGTTATCAATTATAACATGTGTCACACTGTACCGCTTAATTTAATTAACGATTGAGAACTATGGTGTAAGGTATAATATTTTTGTTGGCATACAAATAGAAATGTGGTTCACATTCAGAAAAACATGTTTGCATGCAGCTGCGAACAAAAAGAAGCACTGGTTTATATATAATTCGGTTTGAATCAACTCTGTGGTTGCTTTACACGTGTGTTATTGATTCTGACTGTGAAAGGCAAACCTCAGAAGTTGCTATGGCAGGCACAATACGCATCAGAAATAAGGACGTGTTTACTCTTTAGAATAGTCAAACCTGTATTTAATAATATTTTAAAATGTGATAAAAAACATGTCATAAAGATATAAAGATGCACATTAATGAAAGAAAGCCGCAATGAATGAAAAATAATTTGTCCTCAAAGTAGTAAAATATAAACACAGAGCTATTTTGACTTTCGTTCAATGTAACAACTAATTTGCCAAAAAGGCAAAATAGGCAAAAGTTTACTTAGCTATGTAGACAATGAGAAACATTATTGAACCTGTAACAGGACTTATAAATATAAAAAAATATTTTTTTTAAAACTTTAACTGGACACCAAAAAAAATTAAAATCTTAAATGTTTTGAGAAATTGAAATAATGTTATTTTGGGGCCCTGATGGGCCTTTACCAATAAATGCGAGGTTACAGAAATGCCAGGGCACCATTTGAGATTTCTTTCTAGAAATATTGTCAACATTAATATTCGAGATTCAACAAATCGTCCGTTATGTTTGGACCAATTCCATTAATGTAAAAATAAAAATTATAATTGCCCTATTCAATACTGTTTTAAGTATGTAGTTCAAGTTTTGTTGTTGATGTTGTTGTAGTGGTTTTTCTATATTCATATTAATAAATGTGTTTTTGTTGCAACTTTAAAATGCATGTTAATGTTATATTATATCTGAAATATAATTCCATGCTACTTTAAGGAATGAGCAAATAGAGTTTTCTATTTCCAATCAAATGGAATGGAATAAAATAAAATAAATCAATAAACTAAAATAAAACTTTTTTCTTCAGTATATGAGACAAATATTGTGATAACATTTATCTTAATTTGAGGAAAGACTTCAGTAAGGTTGTTTCAGTCTAAGCCGTAATGTTATTTGTAAAAATTGTTCTTGTATACTTTATTACGACGAATAACATGCTTTTTTTTACAAAGACGAAAGAGGCACATTAGAAATGTTTATAATGTTTATCGTATGTCGCGTGTGTTTGTAATTGATCTAACGAGTGTGCAAGTCATTGAATAATGACTATGTATGTCCATTCTATGAGGAAAAATATGAGAAAATACCTACCAAACTTTGGGAAAAAATACACACTCTTTAACAATTTACCAGATCTTGATGAAACTCAAGACGAAGAATTTGTGTGTGGTATTATCATAAAGATTTATTTTGTTTTGGTCTGTTGAACTAAAATTTTTTTATACGGAGCGGTTGTATCCGGGTGAGCGGTTAAGGGCCATCATGGCTTTCTTGTTTATAATTCAACTAGTGCATTTCAGCTTACCTCTCCTTTTCAATGTAAAAATGGCAAACACATTAAAACCTCGACTTTAATGATACATGTTAATATAAACAATAAATGTGTTAAGAAATACTGTAATTGCAACATCATACACGTTTTATGCTGTATAAGTGTCAATGCAAACATGTATATACAATATATTTACAACATGTTTTCATTTGGTGCGAAACAGCTGTTTATTTGAAACAGAGCTCTGCTTCCCATCCCGTTTTTTACACAAATAACTTTATATAAAAATTGTTGATCTTAAGACATTTATATAGATTGTGAGGAACGTTGGGTGTAAGATCTTAAAATATCTTTTTATAAAAATAAAATTGAACATTTTACATTATTTTACCGTTACATTCTTATATAACTTGTCTGCACGTTTGTCATGTTGAAATTTCATTGGATAAGTGTGGTGTTTATATAACCTATATGCATGCAGTGCTGCTTTATTAATGGGTATTATGTCACACGGACACATTATAGGTCATTTGGCGACGTTCAAGCTTTTACTGGTGGAGGAAGACCTCAGGTTCCCTTCCGTGCATTATTTCAGACACGAACGGGCACCCGAGTAGAACTACCGACGTTCCGTAAGGTTACAGGATAGCTTCCTCACATGAAAGAATCCAAAGTCCTTGTCGGGATTCGAACTTAAAGCGGTGATTGGCAAGTGGTTTGAAGTCAACGACCTTAACCACGCGGTCACGGACGCCCCAAACTGCTGCTTTACTATTAACGTTAAATGTTTAACCAATCAGAAAGCAGAGAATAATTAAAGGCCAATTAATCTCCAGACATATTCTCAAAAGCATTTTATTTATTGTTGGTATAGTATAAGATAGTTATTGACCGTACATGAACCATATTTTACTTCTGTTTTTGGCAAGTGCGAGTAGTACAGTTGTAGTGATTTTGTATTTTGTATGGAAGATAAATACTTAAAATTTTGATCGTTTGATGATAAATAATTTCATATTCAGTACTAGTTTCTTGATGTAATAAGCATCTCACGTGCTCTAAAACCGTTATTTATAGTATGAAACTCGTTTTGCCCTTTCTAAGTAAGGAAAAGAAAAATTGCTGAGTCATTTTGTCCCTTTCTATATGAATTTTGATCTTTTGTGAACTCATGGCCTGTTTATCGAAACACTTTCCTCTCTACTGCCGCATTTGCAACTTCTCGGTCCCTTCCGTCAAACTCCGGATATGGACGATGATAACTGATTACCAGCGAGGTGTTCCGAATTGTTTGTTTGTCTCTGATTAAACTTGGTGGCAGTGCATATTTATTTCTTTTCTAACATTCTTTATTTTTTTACTTTACCATAAGTTCATATGCCAATCAAGTTCCATAGAAGGCATTTAAATTTCTCACAAATGTTACAATTTCCGATTAGTATTGATCACGGCAACACGTTGTGAGTAAATTAAAAGTTCTTCTTCGGATATTGTTTTAAGTAAACAAACAGACAGAGATGTTGATTTTTAACACACAAGTTTCACTTATGCGGTGTTATTCTTTTATGGTCTAGTTATCACTATGAAAAACCTCTTAATTGTAAAAAAGTAGGAATATAATATGATATATATATAATAATGGTATTGAAACGGTAACGCCACTGCATTGGTGTTATACCGTTTTAGCGATCTTCCCGCTCAAACTAAAATAACTTAACAACAAGTAAAAAATTGCTGGGAAATGCAGCAATATGATTGTCACGGCGAAAAACAACAACAACGAAAAAAAAACCAACCCCCACACAAAAAAAACAACAAAAAAAACCCCAGTTAAATATATTGATAAGGTATCTCCAAATAGCATTGTTTTGAATTGACATGTTAACTTGTTCAGAAGGTTTTAAAATATCATAATCATGTAACTTGTTACAAGAGCCATGTTTATATGTAGTCACGGGGGAGGAAGTGTTACACGAAGGATGGAGTTCTTATGAGAACTTGTTCAGGAGTTCTTGTGATAACTGTCACGGAGTTCGTCGGAAAACATCTGTATATACTACAAAAACACTCGTTAAAATGGTTATTTTCATCGTTCAAAAATGAGTTTTAGATGCTAAATTAAACTTTAATGATTAAGCTTGTCTTACATCTTGTATTATGTGCCAAAGCCTAATTCACATGCCATTTTTAATCGCCTCTTGCTTCAAATCTGGTAGTTTTCAGTAAAATTTCGAAATAACTTGGCAATTCACAAGTTTTGACCTGTTTATTTCTGGTCTTCATCCTTGCAATACATAATTTCCTAATTATAATGCAAAATTGCAATCATAAAGCACCGGCTAACAGATTTATAGCCGATTTTTCAAATGTTCCGGAGTTCTTGTGATAACTCTGAAGATGTCACAGAGTTCTTATGATAACTTTTGTTATTGCCAGTGTGTTTCTTGCGCTAAAACACAGCATTTATTATTATTCAATAAGATTGTAAATCATTATGAAATGCAGTACGATCATCCTTTGCACAAAAAAGTAGATAAAAAGTTGGTCGTAAGTGTCTGCAAAGGATAAATAGCTGAATGGCTATCATCTACAATAAAAATTGAACCAGCGGTCACTGATATTCAGCAGTATAATGGCTTAAACCACAAAACAAAAATGTCTCAAAACGTACACGTTGTTCTCAGTTTCACATGTTTTAAGCAACCACCTTTCTTAAGCAGACAATATATAGGCATGCTTCCCTTACCTAGGGGCTAAGTAATTTGTATCATTTTATACCATAATAAATAAGTATATAACCAGGATAATTTCCACACCTATGTCTTAAAAAAGTACGATACATGTTAAACAACCGATCTTTCGAACAAACTTGAACTGTCCCTCCAGGTTCAAGCGAACTAAGTTTGACTTTATATTTTTGTTATCAATTAAAGCAAAAGTAGCAGAGTTTCCTCCAGGGGAAATACTCATCAAGCACCGACAGAGAAATAGGCATGAAAATACTATATTTGAGTATTTCAAAGCGCATTTTATCACGTACATAAATGCCCTACTGGTTTCATAGCAGTTCCCGGCACCAAATCGCACTTTTTAACAAATAAAGTAAAAA